ATGCAATCATGTAATGTGTGGCCTTGTGTGGCTGGCTCCTTTCATTTAGCGTAATGTTTTCAGGGTTTGAACATGTTGTAACACTGTATCAATACTTCATTCCTTTTTTTCCCTTTCCCCCCAACATCTTGGGGTATGGGGGAAGGGCAGCCCTGCTTTCTCTTGTGCTTCTCCTGAAATTGTTTTCTCACTCCTGCAAATCCCCCAAAAGCTGCCACAACTCTCATGAAAAACAAAACCATCCCTTCTCAGAGGCTGCTCCTGTTTCCGACACACCCTTCCTCTGAAGCAATGAAGCAGAAAGCATCTGCCCCCTGGGATCGATTAATTCCTATAACAAATGCTTATGGATGTCTGCTTTGTGATGTGAACTATTTTGGGGACTGGGGGTGCCTTCCTCAGCAAAAAACACAGAGTTCCTCTTCTTCTTGAACTTCCATTCGAATGGCAAGAAAGGAATAATAAATAACCAGATTAAACAATATGCTATGAGGTGATAGGTACTATGGAAAAACACCAAAGCAGAGTAGGCAGGACGAGGAAAACAAAGGGGATTGCAATTTTAAACAGGGTGGTCAGGGGAGACCTCACCAACACAGCGACATTTGGGAAAGAAAAGGAAAAATGCAGGGAGAAAAACATACATTAAAAACCCTTTGGTGGCTTTTCTTTGCCCTCCAAATAAATTCCTGACTTTGAACATGCCCTTAACCACTTGGCCATTCTGGCTCCTTGTTTGAGGAGTTGAATTTAAGATCCAGTGGATCTGTAATCCTGTGGATTCGATCCCCACCTCTGTCAGAGGCTGCCCTGCCCTGGCCTGTGGGTGGTTCATAGCCTGGCTCTTGCTTTCTCTAGCTTCACCAGCACAAAGTCTGCTATATACATGTTATGCTCTGCCTCCGCACTCTGACCAAACTCAACGGTGCACACACTCCCCATGCCACATACAGCAACATAATGCTACTCATATGTTAATAACGAAGAGAACCTGGGAGGCCAGCTGAATGGAGCTACACGGAAAACATGCAAAAAGCCATTAAGTGTTCGACTTATCTGTAACTACAGATCAATGGCACATAAAGGAGCAGTTAGAAGTCATCCATTCTGGAAACCCTTCACTGCGGCCCAGAGAGGGATAGTGGCATCTTGGGCGGGGGGGGGGGGGGGGTCACACAGTCTTATTTGTACATCAAGGCCAGATATTCTGCAGGAATAACATTTCATACATGTGGTCTTTCCACGAGACCTCAAGTTCCTTTACTGAACGCCTAGAAGGAGAAGTGACTGTTTGGATTTCCCCTCCACCGACTACCCATGAATAAGCTGAGTGCCCCAGTTAAAGGGCCCCTTGCTCATCTCTGCGACACCCAACACCCAAGGCAGCGCCTTCTCTCCTGCCTGTGGAGTTGGTAGGGAGCAGGGCTCCAGGTGCGTAATGGAGGGACAAGGGCCAACTCTCCATTGTTCCTGGGGAATAAATCAAAATATACAACCCAGAAAGAACCTCTTGCCATGGACTGAGGCTTGGCTGGCTGCGGTGTGATTGCAGGAGCAGGAATTCTGTGGTTGGCACCCGGTTCTCTGCTTGGGAGCCGGAGGAGGGGAGGCTCTGGAGGCTCAGAAAGAACAGGGGCACTTTAGAACTTTAGGGCTAAGTGTTAAAACCATAACACACTTGAGGAAGTTAGAACTAAGTGTGAAGTTCATCAGATTGTGACAAAGCCAACAAAAACAGTCAAAGGAAGAAAGCTGTATTGGAAATCTTTTAATCAGAGATGGGGAGATTGCGGGGTACACAGGAGCCTGCTTATGTGAAGGTCAAGTCTTCTCACTTCTACTTCCCAGGTAGGGCCCAGAGAGTGAAAAATTACATCCAAATCACCAAATCCCTCTCAAGCTCTTGGGTCCTGGATGCTTCAAGAAACCCGTGACCCTTCTTCCCTTTGCTTCCGCTGCGCCTCCGTCCCAGACCTCCTCACAGTGCCCAAGCCCCGTAGCCTTTCCCCAGAACTTCCCCAGCCTCTGACTTCCTTCTAACTCCCACCAGCTTTCAGACTGAGACTCTCAGGATCCCTGTAACCTTGAGCAAGTGGCCTGATATTTTGCAGTTGCTTTCCTCTCTCCAGATGAAAGTATTTGCTTCTAATGAAGACAACAGCTACCATTTATTGAGTCAGATGGTTTCATGTCCTCGTCTCCCAGTCACAGACAAGCTGCTCAATTCTCATCCAGAGCAAGGAAGAGACAGTATTTCAGGAAAATCTAATTAAGAATGTGACATTGCTTTATAAGATCTCTCTTGACAATTTATGTTTATCAGTGGTATTCATCCAAACTCATTTTTACTTCTGATCTAAATTATTTTTTTCAATTACTTTTTTGGTCTGCACGTAATTTTAACAAACAATCCTCCTCCCTGTGTAGAAGTGAATGAACACAGTGCCCAAAAAAGCCCTCAAACCAGAAGAGCCTCATTTTGCTCTTGGAAAAAAGGAAACAGGTTTCCTGCTCCTCTTCTACACAAGAGATGAACAAATTTCCGCGCCACCTCCTCCACCAGAAGTAACACAAAAATGTTATTTCTGACCTTGGAATGTGCAGCTTATGATGGGGTGATTCAAGTCACCTAGGAAGGGCAACTGTGGAACTGTTATGCAGGTACCCTTCTTTGGATGTTTGTTTTTAAAATCAACTCTTGAGAGTTGTCCCTGATAGTGTACAAAGGCTCTGAAATCCAAATAATCCCTGCTATTCTGTCTCATGATCTAGGCTCAGAGGAGGCATTGGGATTGTCTGGCGCAAGAGGAACAGCAGCGGCCCTGTGAGGCGGACCTCAATAACTCAAGGCTTGTCAATCGTCCGGGCTGTCCAGTTTTCTTTTTCTGCAAAGCCGACAATCCATGCTTGGTGACCCTCTCCGTGCTTGAAAGATTTGATTTCAGAACAAAAGCTAGCAGCCTCTTCCCTTAGCAGGTGAATCAGTAATCGCCCAGCAGTTTCTGCCGAGGTTCCCTGAAGGAGCCCCAGGTGCCCCCTGGCCTTGCTGATGGCAGCCATCTTGGCAATGGTCAGCAGATTATGAGTGACAAAGGCCCTTCATTGCTGTTTTGTAAGGTTCTGAGAGTGTCCTAGATGCTACAGCCTGTGATATCGGTGGCTTCATGGACATTACATGTGTGTATTAACCCAGAAGCAGTTCTGTTTAGGGCAGTTATATCGAACAGGCTTCCTGAGAGGCCAGTTCCACCTCTTCTCTGGAGACCACTATCTTTATTTCATTCCATCTTTCAGGATTATCCAGCCATTGGTGGGCATTGACAGCAACTTGGGCTCCTAAGGGTTTGGTTAACACCAGCACGTCCCCACCAACTGCATTGTCAGGCACTACGAATTCATCGGGCTGACACATCACAGTGGCAACCCCACCCACGATAATCTGCGGGTTTACCACAGTTTGTCCACCCGTCACCGCAGTCCCTCCTTCCTCCGCAGCACCCTGAAGGCCTTTGATCATGAGTGGGGTTATCTTTTCTAGTTGCTCTTCAGTCATAGTCTGGCTGGTGCTGAGTAGCGTTAACATGCCACATTCAGTAATGTCCAAGGACATAGATAGAGGTCATGACATCAGCACAACGGCCCAAGCTCATGCACCCCGTCATGCAGGGATCTACCACCAAGGGTAAGAGAAGACCATGCTGTGTGCACAGCAGCCGCCTCTGTGCCTCATGGGTATGACGCAGGAGTCCATCCCAATGTCCCAGGCTGGCAACGTTGGGCTGGGTTCCACCCTTACCCGCAGGCCAGCCAAGCCCTGGCCCAGCCGGGAGCTGGGGCAGCGTCTCCTATGGGCCTTGCGGCCTCAGCCTATCAGCCACCGCCAGCTCAGGCTGAGGCCCAATGCCTGGGGCTCAACAGGCCGGTAGCTCCGGGAGCCAGGACCCAGAGACAAGCCAACAGGACACACCAAACCTGCTGCTATGGTTGCCTGCCTGTGGGTGCCTGTCGCTGGGATTCCTGCCATCAGCCTTTCTGGCAGGGAAATCCTTTCTATTTCCTACTCCAGTTAATGCCGATTAATGGGGTAACAGATTATTACCCCAGAGATTCTCCCTGGCCTGACTTGTGCCACCAGACTCAAGACACGCTGCGCCGTCCTGACTTCCCTGTGTCCTAAGAACTTAACACACAAGTCTTCTTTTAAGACTTTCAATCCCCCTATGACATAGATTCTGTTCTTTTCATTTTACTGACCAGGACACTGAGGCTGAACTGTAAAGCCGGGAGCCTGAGGTCTCACAGCCAGCGCTTGCTGGTTTAGGATCTGAACTGAGGTCACTCATGCCCCAGGCTCAAGGTCTGCTAGTTCTGTGTCTGGTAAGGCTTCTCTGAAGAGCCTCTTTCCTTATAGGACGACTGGCAAAGGTTTACTAAATAAATAAATTTTAAAATTAAATACTGTTAGAAGTCCCTCATTCCCCAGAAACACCCCGTTTTCGAAACTGGATGAAATGGACAGACAATACATAAAAATAGAAATACCAATAAGAAAAAGTGTACTACCCTTGCAATCAAACAAATACAAATTAAAATTACAACTGTGTAGCTTTCTGCTAATCAGATTTTTTAAAATGGCTACATTCAAAGCTTGGGAGATAACTGCTTTACTTTACTCGTAATTTATTGCTATTATCACCACAGGATGGGCTTTTCCATTTTCAACTCAACATGAGTTAAGCTTCGCACAATTTATTGCAAGGAGCCATAAATATTTTATGATAATTGCGGAGGCAAGTCAAGTGCAAAACAGTAAGGCGCCAAACGGAACGCAGGATGCAGCCCCGCAGTGCCGCTCGGCCGGGTAACGGGGGCTTCGCGGTGGGTGCGGGCCAGAGGGTGCGCCCCAAGCCGCCCCGAGCGGACCGCTCTGGGGACCACAACTCCCAGGCGCCCGCGCGTCCGCCTCGCCCCGACCACGTGACTACCGGGCTCCGGTCGCGGTCGCGGAGGTGGCTGGACCGACTCGGAACCTGGAGACCCGAGCGGGCAGACGCTCACCGTAAAGGTGAGTCTGGGCGCCGCGGAGAGAAGCGGACGCCGGTTAGGCGGCCGTGACGGGGCCCCGCCAGCAGCAGCTCCCGGCCCCGCGAAGTGCCGGCCGCCCCTGCCGGAGGGCTGGAGAAGGGGGTGTGTTGGAAGCATTGTCAACAGCGAAAACAGGGTGGGGAGAGGCGGGAGTTAGGGCTGGAGGTGGCTGTGAGATTTTTTTATTTCTCCCTCCTGCTGGGTCGGCAGTCTGGCTGGCCGAGCAATTATTGAACACCTGCTGTAGAGCTGCGGAGGGTGGGGGCGCAGTGGGCGAAGAAAAGCGAGTCCGGTAACCACCCCCCGCCTTCCAGGGCGCAGAGCCTTGGGGAAACTCCGGGGAGGTTTCTAGAAAAAGGAGGGAAGCCCGATGCATGTCAGCTCGCTACCGGACGCGCACACCCTGGGGCAACTTCCCTGTCTTGGCAAGTTCGTAGTTTGATTTTTCGGGGGACGAGGCGGGGACAACAACCAGACCCAGCTACTTTACATCCTCCCTACACTTGGGTCAGAAATAGTGTTACAGATAAATTGTTTTTCTCAGTGGAGTTCACCTGGACTGCTAAGAATCACAGCTTGCAAGACTCTTTGGTTTTTGAAAAAATCATGTTATTTTCTTCCTCCATGAAGAATGTTGTGAATTTAAGATAGAGGAAGACAGTACAGGTCATTTAGTCAGAAGCCCTCAGCCACCTGCTGCCGGTCCTCTAAAAGGGAACAAATAGACGGGCACAAATGCCTCAGCCAGTCTCAGGCAGGACAGCGACCTTAATCTCTCCTGAACTCTTTGGCTTACAAATAAGGGAGTTTTTCCTCAAAGTGTAAGTAACCACCACCCCTTGCCCCCAAACGAGAAAATAAAGAGGAAAAATCCCCTGCTTGCTTTCTCCTAGCACAGCCCGTCCCCACTCAGGGCGGGACCCTGAATACACCGCAGATAAAAGTTAAACTCAGCTTCTGGAGGCTGAGATTTAATGGGAAAGATTAGGGCCCTGCCCCTTGGTATCTGACCACAGAGCCTTTGAATTGAACACTGGAGCCCCTACGCAGAGCCTGCTGATTTGAAGCTTTTTTTTCCAGCCAAAAGGCCAGAGTAGGTGAGGCTTAGTGTCCCCTGAGCTCCTCACTCCCAGGTGAAGTAGAACCAGGTCCTCTGGGTGGGCACTTCCAGCTTGTATCACACTGGACTGTCTGTCTTCCTCTGAGTGCCTCCTGCTCTTCCTGCTTCAGAAGATGTCCTATCCACCTAACTCCCTGGCTGGGTTAGGCAGCAACACCTGGCCCCCACCCCCTGCCGAAGTCCTCCCCTGTGGCTCCCTCCCGGGAACTACATGCACTCTGTTGTAAAGACCTGTTCGCTGCCCTCTCCCCTAATACATAGGTCCCTAGCCTTTTTGGCACGAGGGACCGGTTTCGTGAAAGATTTTCCACGGAGGAGTGGAGCGGGTGGAGGATGGGGGAGACAGGAAGAGGAGCTCAGGTGGTAATTGGAGAGCATCCACAGGTGGGAGGAGGGACGTTGGGGGCCCCTCCCTAATAGACCAGTAGCTTCATGAGGGCCAAGCAGTTGCCTCACTCATCTCTCTATCTCCACCATCTGCACCTCTAGCAAAACAAAAATGTTTGTTGGTTGAATTAATTTGCTGTTTTGTGGGTATTCAGGTCTACAGTAGGTGGCGTGGGGCACCTGAGATAGCTGGCCCAGGCCCAAGGATGATAGAAGGAACCCAGTTAGGGAACCTTGATGATTAATTAGCCATTGAGGACATTCCAGTCATGCCAACTGCTAGATCAAGTGGACTCAGAGAAGGGGTCATGCGGCCACACCCTCCTCTGCCCCCACTGCAGAGGCTGCGCCAGGGGCTTCTGCTGACCCCTCGGCAGAGATGGTGCTGGGGCTCCTGCTAAGCTGACTGAGTGCTGCTCCAGCATAAATGGGGTTTCACAGGATTATTTGTACCTGTTTGTTTTTGAACATTTTGCCATGTCAACAAGTATTTTTTTATTTTTGAAATCTTAACAAGGGGTATCACTGCATAGGACTTCAAATTAGTTTTACTTTTTTTTTGGTACTGCTTCAGCTTTTTTTACATTGAATAAGTACCACTTTCATATTAGGGGGATAAAAAGCTAGTTTTATTTTTAGATTCTTCAACCTTATTTTTAAAAGACTGCCTAGGTTTCCATTTTCTTCCTTTCTTTCAACATCTCAGGTTAAGTTTATTAATCACTTTTAGAGGAGATAAAGAATTTATGAATTTTTTTTAAAATTATTAAAAAATTTTTGTTGTTCAAGCACTGTTGTCTCCACTTCCCCCCACCAGCCTCCCCCGCCCCACCCATCCCTACCTCCCACCTTCATTCCACCCCCCTTTGGCTTTGTCCATGGGTCCTTTATACATGTTCCTTGATGACTCTTCCCCTCCATTTTCTTCTTATGAGGTCTTGAGCAAATCCCTTTCCCTCTTGGAACTCATTTTCCCCACCTGGAGTTGGGGAAACTGCAGAGGGGCTGGAGTTGGACCAGATCAGTGGCTTTCACACTGCGTTTCGGCAGAACTCAGACCTCTCTCCCTTCTGCACCCAGAGTCCTGTGTTTTATAGAGTGGGCTTACAAGGAAGATTTTATTTGCCAGTGTTCCCTGGAAAAAAGCTGTAAACAAGGGAACTAAAAACTCCCTGAGAAAATAAATAAAATAGATTTTATAAGTTCTCAAAGGGAACTAAAAACTCCCTGAGAAAATAAATAAAATAGATTTTATAAGTTCTCGTCCCAAGAAAAACTATTGTAACTGCATGATGTGGTGAAGGATGTTAACTAGAACTCATATTGTGATTATTTTGCAATACATACATCCATCAAATCATTGTGTATACCTGAAAATACTGTAATGAGATATGTTGATTATATCTCAATTTTAAAAACAACTTTCTGAAGATACTTCCAGCTCTGACGTTTGAGGGTTCTAATATTTGACCCCTGCCTTAGAAGGCAATGGCCCAACTCCGCCAGGGTCTCCTTCATGGGATGAACACTGGCAGCGTTTGCAGAGCTGCTGCTTCTGGCCGAGGTCTTTAGTGACGAGAGGGGACCTTCTCTTCCTTGAGAGGGTGAACTGAATTGATCCATTTGGCTTAGTTGCCAAACACAGCCACGAAGCCTGATGTGGCCATTTAGAATGGCCATCCAGTTCCTATCCCATAGCACAGTCAGCACAGTGTCCTGGAATGCACCTGGTTTGGCATCCAGCTAGACCCAGGTTTGAATCCCGGCTCTGCCAACTTAATAGCCTTGTGAACTTCAGCAAATTAACTTTTCTGACCTTCATTTTCCCATTTTTCCTTTCTGTGAGATGGACCTAATTGTCCCTGCCACATAGAACACTGTTGTGAAATGAGATGGTGTATGAAAAGCCCTTGATGCCACCTAGGACAACAGGTGGACCAGGCGCTCTTTGAGGAGAGCAATCAGAGGAGCATTGCATGTTCATTGCTTCTACCATCATTGTTTTGATGTGGAGAACAGACTGAGGACAGGCCCCCGGGCCCTTCCATGATACCCACCACTGAAGCAGAATCGCGTGGCCCTGGGAGTGAGAAGAGGCAGTTGTCCTCAGCCTAGCGTTTCCCCGACCCCCTGGATTTGGAGGGTGTGGAAGGGACAGCTCAGCCTGGTCTGAGAGCAGTGTGGCCTGGCTGGCCCAGTGAGGATGGGCACCCCCACATCTCACCTTCCGCCTGGAGCAGGGCTAGCTCAGAGCTCTGCTGCTGACCAACTGCAGGGCCTGAGGCAAGTAAGCCCCTGCCCTGTCTGGCCACACTTGGCCCTGATTACCACTACGGGCCCTTCTAGCATGTAGGTCCGGTGACGCCATTTTTCTGGGTCTTTTAGAAGGGGATGCTTGAGAGCAGTAGGGACCACAGCTTCCACTGCCCTAAGCCCCCTGTGATGCAGACTCCCTTCTCTTTCAGATGCATTTCATCTTCTCAGATAAGGCGGTGCTCCTGTTTGATTTCTGGAGCGTCCACAGTCCTGCAGGTAAGAATTGGGAAGCCCGGGCTCTCTTTAGTGGCATACTCTGTGGACATTCAAGTGAGCCTGACTCCTCTTGCATAAATGTTGAGTGGGCCCTTTGCAGCCACTGCTCTTCAGCTTGCAAAGGGGCCCCTTATCTCGCTGATCCTCACGAAGGCTCCGAAAGAGGCCAGGGGTGCAGCTTTCCCCTGTGTTACAGGGAAGGAACTGAAGCCCACAAAGGGGAAGGACTTACCCAGGGTCACACTCCGAGTGAGGAATAAACGTCCGAGCCAGAGCTGGATGAGGCCTTCTGTTGCCTCTAGCCTCTCCCATGTCCAGGGGTCACTGTCCAGCATCAGCTCAGAAGCCCAGAGCAGCTGCTGCAGCCTTGGACCTGAAATGAGACACCAATTTGAAAGAGAAGGGTACTCCTTTGACTTGAAAAGGCAGGGTTATGTTTCAGTGTAAATAACTGAATCTTAACAATAGGCTGGAAACAGCCCAAATGCCCGTCATTGCAGATGCTGATCAGATAAATCACGGTTGTCCCTGAACTGAGTTACCATTGCAGTAACCTATTGCAGAGTAAACCTAGTGGCTTTCCACACCAGCAGTCGTTTATTATCCTTCTCAAGGCTCTGAGTGGACTGGGCTCAGCTAAGTGGTCCTCACTCAAAGTCTCCCAAGCAGGAATAGTCAGTGGCTGGAACTGGAGTCGCCTCGAAGACTTCCTCACTCTCACGTCTACTAACGGATACTGGTTGTCAGCTAGAACCTTAGTGGGGGGTGTTGTCCTAACATCTGTGTGTGGTGTCTCCTATGGCCTGTGTTTCTTTGTGTCAGGGTGGCTGGCTTCCAAGAGCAAGTGAGTGTCCCAGGAGAACAAGGGAGAAGTGCATGGGATTTTTAAGACCTAGCCTTGGGGGTCACCGGGCATCACTTCCACCTTTATTGGCTGGGGCAGTCACAAGTCTTTTCAGGTTAAAAGGGAGGGAACACGAACCCCATCACTTCATGGCAGGAGTGTTGACTGTAAAAAAAGCATATAGGGTGGGATGTGGTGAAGTGGCCGTCTTTGGAAAATACAATCTATCACAGATGCCACGAAGCGACAGAAATAAGGTAGATGTGTGGGAACTAAGGGGAACCTGTTTGGCTGAGGTTAGATACAGAAGAGTATGCACAAATAGGATGCTGCTATTCAGACAAATAAAGTAAGTATGTGGAACACAGGGTTTATTCTTGTATTATTTTCCATATGAACAACTGTAAACCGACCTTTGTCCCATCTTGTATATGGTGTATTATCCCTAGAAGGCTATGCAGGGAATTGCTAGCAGAGGCTGCTCTGGGGAGGGGAACTGCAGCTTGGGAGACTGGCCTTATGGTATTTTGCTGTGTATAATACACACTCTTTTTGCCCAAATTTTTGAGGGCGAAATATGGATGCACATTATACATGAGTATAATGATTACATACCATGGGTATAATAATGGGCCTAATAATCCCATATATAATGAGCACAAAAACACGGGTGCGCATTATACATGGCAAAATAGAGTACTTTCCACTGCATATAATTCTGCACTGTTTGAACCAATAGCACATGTGTGCAATTACTTGTAACTTTATGTTTAAAAAACCTGCCCCTTTTGCAGATGATTTCCTCCTGGGAGCCCAATAAAATACTACAGCTGGACCATTTACTATCCCTCCATTTGTATTGGGCTGGCCAAAAAGTCCATTTAGTTTTTTCTGTAGGATGGCTCTAGTAGTGCTTAGTTGTCTTTAATTTCATTCAAAACAATTTTATTAGATTGTATTATGACAGCTGTCATATCAGCGTGTATTAAAAAAACTTGTCAAAATTGGTGACTTTTTGTGCAGCCGTTTTAATATTGAAGATGAAAGAAAATACACATCACTTAGTGTATTATGCTTTATTATTTCAAGAAAGGTAAAATGCTACGGAAATGCAAAAAAAAGATTTGTGTGGTGCATGGAGAAGGTGCTGTGACAGATCGAACGGGTCAAATGGGGTTTGCAGTTTCTTGGTACTATTGCCATTTTGGCCAAATAATTCTTTTTTGTGGGGCTGTCTTATGTGTCGGAAGATGTTTAGCAGCACCCCTGGCCTCTACCCACTAGAAGCCAACAGCGGGAGATAGCTGACATACTGAAAATATCCAAATCAATAAAGTTATTGGTGAAAATGAAAAATGCGTCTTTTATTTTATGGAAAAAACCATATGGACTTTTTGGCCAACCCAATACGACAGAAGTAGCAATTAGCAGTTATTTTTACACAGCAGTTCTAGTAAGCACTTAACATTTTTGGGTAAAATGTTTTTTTCCCCTTTATTATGAAACTAATAGACATATTAAACTTTGAAAAATTAGGTGAGAAGAAAATAAAAATCTCCTGTATCCAAACTTGCTGAGATAATTATGATTCCTTTTCTGTTTATATATTTGTAAACAGGACCTTGCTCTTCCCTTAACAAGCAGTCCCCACAGATTTGTGCCACCTGCTGGTGGCGCAGCTGGGGCCCGTGGTGTTTGGCTGCTTCGCCCTTGGCCCTGGTTTTTCCAGGCAGCTGCTCTTCCTAGTCTCAGAGCCACACTACAGTGGCCCAGCCCTGCCTAGAAAGGGCTGGTCGGGGAAGAGAGTGCAGTGCAGAACTTTGAGCCCAGAGCTGGGGGTAGGGAGCGGTAAAGAGCTGCGAGAGAGGGAGGTGGAATGGATTCAGAGGGAATGGGTAGAGGCACCTTCTGGCACCTGACAAGGTCCCCTGCGAGGCTGCCAGAAGGGGAGCACTGCTTGCCTTGCTAGGTCTCTGCAACTCAGCGTCCTTTGACAGGCATGGCCCTTTCGGTGCTGGTGATCCTGCTCCTGGCTGTGTTGTACGAAAGCATCAAGTTTGGCAAAGTCTGGCTGCTCTACCGGGCTCTGGTGAACATGTCCCCCTCCCGCAGCGAGTTTGAGGCAACACACCAGGATTCTTCAAGCTCAGAGTCACCCCCAGTCAGCAGACCCCGCCTCAGGTAACAGGCGGGGGGTGGGGGGTGGGGGGTGGGGAGTGGGGTATGGGCATACTCAGTCACCTGGAGAGGTAGGCTGGGCCCAGAGGGCATTAACCCCATGACACAGAAAGGAGACCGAGGCCTCAGGAAGGACCAGGGCTTGTCAGAGTGCTTACAGTTAGGAAGTAGTGAGGTGAGCTAGAGCTCAGGTCTCCTGATGCCCAGGTCAGAGCTCGCTCTAGGAACAGCCACTTGGGAGGCTCCAATCTTCAGAACTCTGGTGCAGGCCTCAGTCTAGCAACAGGGGTGTCCCTCCAGTCCTCCCCTCAATCTCTTTAGGCTTCAGCAGGTCACTAAGGCTTCCAAACCCAGGACAGGATCTGCAGCTGGCCCTACACAAGGGGAAAGAATTGCTCTCAGCAGTGTATCCACGCTGGTGTCCTTACTTCCCTTCCCATTCTGATATGGCAACCATCTGGGGTCCCGATTCTGCCCTCTCCCCAACTCCAGCTGTGTGTGTTGAGCCTGCCTACTCCTCACATGGGGGTCTTGCATAGTCACCACCATCCTACAAGGGAGGTATTCTTATTCCTGTTTTACTGATGAGGAAATTTTAAGACATTCGTTGCTGAGACACAGAACTAGGAGTTCATCTGTCACTGAAGTGCATGTTCTTTTTTTTTTTTTTTTTTTTCTCAACAGCCTGTTTCATTTATTATATTATGAGCATTTCCCAACTTAATACATTGTCTTTGAACATTACTACTAATAACCACATAGGAATTCAGGGGTGGACACACCACCATTTATCTAACTATCCCCTCCACTTTGGCACACATGTAATGTTTCATGCATTTACCCTTCTCAGCCCAACATGGATGGAAACCAGCCTCTGTCCCTGACAACAGTTGACAACCGTGAACCATATTTGTCCTAAACATATTGTCATACATAGTGCATTTCTCATAGTAAATGTTCCTATGGCTGTTATTTGCTTTCCTCTAAAATCACCGGTCAGTGGTTATTTCTACAGTGTTTTCATAAACAGAGGAAAAGCAATGATGTTAAAACAGCATATACTGGATTATTTTAAGATTCAAAATCTGAGACCATATTATTTAAAATGGGACACAAATTCTGCAGTAGTCTTAGCAACCAATTTAAAAGTATGTATGATGTTTGGAGAAATTTTTATTTTTTATTTATTTATTTATTTATTTATTTTTTAAATTTATTTACTTTTTAAATACATTTGTCTCTGCCTCCCCCCCACCACTTTCCCTTGCCCTCTCCCTCCTTCCCTCCCTCAGCTCTTCCCCTTTGGTTTTGTCCATGAGTCCTGGCTATATGTTCCTTGACTTTCCCCTTCCCTTCCCTTCCCCTGCGCCCCCCCCCCGCTTCCCTCTTGTCTCTGTTGATTTCTTTTCCTTTCAGTGTTGCTGGTCATATTTTCCTTGCATCTTTGCATTGTTGGTTAGGTTCCGCTTATAGGTGAGATCATACGATATTTGTCTTTCGCCCCCTGGCTTATTTTGCTTAGCATGATGCTCTCCAGTTCCATCCATGCTGTCGCGAAGTGTAGTAGTTCTTTTTTTCTTTCTGCTGCGTAGTATTCCAGTGTATATGTACCATAATTTTTTGATCCAGTCATCTACTGATGGGCATTTAGGTTGTGAAGTGCATGTTCTTTCCATTGTAATACTGCCTCCCACAGTCGATTCAGGGGTGGAAAAAGTCTGCCTTACTGATCATTTTTTATTCTCTCTCAGACATCTTTTTCCCTTTTTGCCTAGGATGCCAGGAAGCTCACAGCTGAGTAGAGAAGTGATTGTCCTAGGCTCCTTGTATCAGCTCCTCTCCCCTATCAGTGGTTTCTGATATGTCTCTTTAAAAAGAAGCTGGTTTTGTAACTCAGCTGCTCTTCCTACTCTGAACACTAACTCTTAGTTTTCAGCTTATTATCTAATATTAACTTGCCTCTCCTTTTTCTCTAGGTGGTTTTTGTCTCAGTTTGGCCAGTCTCTAATCCATGTTGTGCAGGTGGTCATTGGCTACTTCATAATGCTGGCTGTTATGTCCTACAACGCCTGGATTTTCCTTGGTGTGGTCCTGGGCGCGGCCATGGGCTACTACCTAACCTACCCACTTCTCAGCATAAATTAGCTGGCAAGGACTGTGCAGGCACTGAGCGCTGGAGAAAGCAGGGCCCCCCCTTCCAGTCATTGCACTTCCAGGCCCAAGTCTCCTTTTTCTTCGGATGGATGCTCCTCGCCTCAGTCCCAGCTCCTAGAAATTTTCAGCTGAAGCCAGCCCTTGCTCCCTGGAGTTCAGAGGCCACTGCAGCGACGTCTCCTCAGACAGCCCAGGGCCAGTCTTGTGACTTAGAAGGCTGCTGTGACTAGTGGGAGAATGGAGAGAACAGAACCCAGAGGCAGGCTTGCTCCGCTTATGACTTAGCTGTGACTCAAAACTAGGAATTTCCAAAGATCTCCAAGACAGGGAGATGGGTTCCGCTGAAGGGCTCGGAACCTGGACCCCCTGTGCTCTTCTGATTTGTGCCTTACCTCAAGGAGCATCTTCCATTGGACTTCCTGATCTCATCTGTCTTTGTGGGGGAGAGACCAAGCTGGCTCCTTTCTCTCGTCCTCTGCCTTTGGAACATGTGAAGATTGTCTCTTCTATGGATCATGCTGACAAACTAAGATTTTTCACTTTTCCCCCACCGAACTCCTGGTTGGCTATTTTGCACATTGACACAAAAACAAAAATTTTAATTAAACTATTTCATTTTATTCATGATGGATGGCATTTGCTGGGACTGGTTTCCTTTTCTTGGGGGAAGAGTGAGTGGCAGTAGAGTGAAGGCAGAGAAGCAGGACTATCACCGAGACTCCCGTGGATGGAGAGCGCCCTTCCCGGCAGCCTGCACTGCCTGCAGGAGGAGGAGTCCAGGCTTCAGGTGTGTGGGAGCTCTCCTGGCCTTAATGTCCCTTTTATCCTGGTCCTTCTTTTATGCAGAACAGAGACCTGAACTGAATGGTACTTAATTTTTTAATTTATTACTTGCTGTTCATCCGTAACAACGATTCATTCACTTAAAATACAGGGAAAGCCGTGACGGGGAGGCAGGGGATGACTGAAGAAGCAACAGGCAGTCAAACCAAAACATTACATTTGTAGAGAGAGAGGGGACTCTCCAGATATTTGAACCTTTTCACTTCACAGGAAAGGAAACAAAAGACCCAGGGAGGAAGAAACCACTGCTGTGTACTGTAACATCTACACTCAAGTACCTCATAGGCTAGATGAAAGATGGTCTTACGCTTTTGGAATTGAAAAGGAAATACATTTTAATAAATATGTATTTTTAAATAGTGTGTGACCCGTCTTCCGTTTCTTCCCAAACAGCAAGCACACGTAACACAGCAACTGCAGGAGCTGCATGGGTGAGCGCAGCTGGCAGTGCTGGGCGTAGGGCTGTCCAGGGACTGAGTCTGGTCCATCTGCTGTGGGTACAGCTCTGCTTAGGGGAACACCAGCCCTGAAGCCCTGTGCTCACGGGCAGGCACCTACAATGCCAGCCTACTCAACAGTCATTCTTTTGTTCATATAACAAACAGTGACTGGGCACCATGAGAAAAATAACTGTCACGGACGACAAATAACTATGTTGGCATGATTTTAAGCCCCTATCTTTCCCTGAAGGCAGAGGCAAAAATATATCAAAACCATGATTTAATTTACAATAAGTAACTGTAGCACTGTATAGTATGTGATGCCTTCAGTACACTCTCCACACTTGCAGGAAATTAAAAAACTGCCAAGTGTCACAGCAGGTCTAAGCCTGCAAATGTCCATCCAGTGTTGCTGATGGAGCCTCAAGCATGTTTTTATGTCCTTACCAGCTCCTCCCTCCTCAGGTGTTCTGCAACCTGTTCAGCTTGATACAGTTGTATCTTTATGTAATACATTTAAGGCTTTTTATAGAATAGAGGGCTTTAAAAAAAACAATTGTGTTCTGGAGAGACTAATTACATGGTTAAGACTCAGTAGGCATTTCAACACAAACTTTTTAAATAAACACCTGTATAGTGCTTAGCATTTCCAGGCAGTGTTCTCAGCACGATATAATGACTCATTTACTCCTCACAAGGTAGAAACTTTCTGTTCTTGTCTTAGAGATGAAGAAGCTGAGGCACAGGGAAGTTAGATAAAGTCACCCTGTAAGTGGCAGAGCCAGACTCCCTCTCTAGATAACAGTGTCTTCTGCAAGGGTTGCTGGATAAAGTGCTCGATGACAGTGCCTATTTGTTACACTAGAGTTTCGTAAATGGTAGGTCTTGCTGCCTCCCAGCCCCACGCAGGGGAGACATGATCAAATCTGTCGTCATAGAGGATGATGTCAGGCAGATAGAGTGGAATTCGGGTTTCTATCTTACAAACATTTAAAACCAGGGACATTTTTACTAAAATTACTCTATTTTTTGAAGGCTGATTGCATGGTCTTTGGAAGATCTTTCAACAAGTAAAAGTATCTTTCACTACTGTTTTCTTCGTTATTCCTGGCCCCAAGTTCAGAGGGAATGGAAACTGCTCTCCCAGTGAAGAATCTCTTGGGTGCTGTGATGGATGGAATGTAGGGCGCCGCCTACCTTCTCTGCGTGGCTCTCCAGGGCGTAGGAGCAGGCATGCAGGAGCAAGTGGATGACAGGAGTGGTCCTCAGATAACCACCATGCCCTAAGCCTTAAAGTAGTGCAGCTGGGATGAGCTGGGATGAGCTGGGACAGCAGAGCACTGATTTTGTTTTGAAGCCTAAACCTCCAGGGTTGGGTACCAAAGGAAATACATCACTGGAAATAACACGTTGCATGTTAACTGACCCAATCTGTTAACAACTACCCTCAAATCCCCAGAGAGGAGCGCAGATAGCCCTTAAAACCAAATTCACTTTCTCCCCAAGAGTATGAGTCAGGTTTCATTATAGATATTTATTTTAGTTTTGTTAATTTCAAAGATTTAAGGCAGAGAAAAGATAATGTGCCAGGACTGCAGGCAAGGCTGTTAACTGGGGTTTAGATGGCGTAACCCACCCTTGGTTCTACCAGGGAGGCCTCGCCCCAGGTGACAGGTCGTGTTGCCGACAGACGGAGGAGGGCTCCCCACAGCAGTCTGAGAGTTAGTGAAGAGACTAAAGAGCTTGGAAGAGGACAGGACTCTTGTAGGTGATGACCGGAGGGAGACTACCAGCCCTTCCTCCAAACAGGACTCCGAGGCAGGCCAGGGTCGGCTGTAGACAGCTGCGGTGTTCTGGAGGCAGGCCCACTTTCCTCTCTCCCCAGCCCGGCGTGGGGCTCAGGGGTTGGCTAACTCAGGTATCTGAGCTACTGTCCTTGGATGCTCACCTTCACCTACCCTGTGGCTCACCTAGACCCAGGGCTGCTGTGCAAAATCATGCTTAGGAAAGGGTCAGTAGAGAAACCTTTGCATGTTTCCTGGGTCTTCATCCCAGCCAGTCAATGTCATCGTCATCATCATCATCTCCAAAAAGGGGTGTTGGGGGCGGGCGTCCCTTCATGCTCTGATAAAACAAAAAAGAGCAGTCAGTCCTCACTTGTTCCTGCACCAGTCGGACTTCCTGACTGAGTAAGGTGAAGCGAGACAACAGCTGTTCCGGCTCCAGGTTGGAAAGAAGGTGGTTGGTTAGGGTTTTACTAAATGGATTAACGCTGAGGCCAGCAAACCTAGGGTTCCAGATAAAGCTGAGACAAGCAGGCGGAGAAGGCAGGCAATCTTTCAACAGAGACAAGAAGACCAACTTTGGCTAATTTTGTCATTTATTTGTGAAACACATGTATTGATTTGACAGGTTTCCTCTCACATAATAACTTACATATTTCAGATGGACAAAGGAAGGTCGAAGGGGAGAGATGGGAGGAGAAAAGAAACAGAGAGGTAGATGGGCCCTAAGGGAGGGGAGGATGCAGGAGGATGAAGGGAGGTTGGGAAGAATACAGTAACACTGGAAAAACAATGCTGTGGCCTAAGGTGGCCTTTCTGGCTCTGAGCATGGCCCCATCATTGGAGAGAGTTGAATTTAGAGGTTTGGCCACATCATCAAGTGGAGAACGCCAAGAGACAAAGGCATAGGGCACAGGGCCACAGGGCCACAGCCTCCCATTCCCCTGGTCTCACCGGCCCCTCCCGCACTCTCTCCAACCAGGCAGGGGGATAAGGGGATTAGGGGGCCAGGGAGGAGACTTCCCCCCCATTTTCATGACTTGGGCTCCTGGGCTTTGTCTTCTGGATTGGCAGGGAACAGGTCTCTCAGGGGTAGCAGGGATTGATGCCGGAGACAGGCATATACTGAGTATTCTCTACCAAGGTACTTTCTGCTCTGGTGTGCTCCTCTGGCCCATGGTCTGTCTTCACAGGGCCAACCAAAAGGTCAGAAGTCCCTGGGCTAATCCCATTCCCCCACCAACTAATGGACCTTGTACCTCTCTCTGGGCATCAATCAAGTTATCTCTAAACTCTTGACATACAGGATTTTTTTTTTATTCTCACCAGAGAACATTTTCTCATTGCCTTTTTATTTTTCCTCTTTTTTAGAGAGAAGGGAAGGGTGGGGGAGAGAGAGAAAGATCAATGTGAGAGAGAAACACTGATTGGCTGCATTCTCATATGAACCCTGATCAGGGATTGAACCTGTAACCTGGGTAAGTGCCCTGACTGGGAATTGAACCCGCAACCTTTTGGTCTAAGGGATGATGGTCCAACCAAATTAGCCACATCATCCAGGGCAGACAGTATAGTACTTTAAAATGTGGTTCACTGCTTTGGTTTTGTTCCAGCTGAAATTCTGGCTCTGAATTTACCAGTTATACATATAACCTTAGACCGGCTATATATAACCTTGGGCATGTTACTTAATCTTCCTGAGCCTCAGTCCTCTTTTCTATAAAATGGGATAAAAGTGCTGACATCACTGGATTAGTAGAGGGTTAAATGAGAATATCTGCCAAGTATTGCAGTTTACAGAATACCCAAGAAATAGAAATTAACTTGATGGTTAATTGTATCAATACCAATAATATACTATTTATAACGCATCTTTCTGTTTCTGGGATAGACCAAAGCTGAAGCTGATCCACATTCTACATACACATTTCGCTCTAGTGAAATTCCCATCATGGCAAAATGTCCCAGTGACAGTCAAGAATGCTTTAACTTAGCACGATGGGCTCAGCAGATACAAGACTCAAGACTCTGCTTGATGCTGCTCTATCAGCAACTTGCCCTCCTGGCCTTCACTCTGTGGAGCTTTACACATTGAGGCTATGCCATGAGCACTTAACCCATTTTCTGCCCAGGGCTCTTGTGAGGACAAAACAAGGCAGCGAGTTGGAAAGTAGGCTGAGGAAGCAGAAAATGCTCAGAAACAAGTGGTCATAGTAAGAGCTTGAGGGTTTAGTCCTAGCTCCACCATTAAGTCACTCTGTGGCTTTAGGTAAATACATCACCTGTCTGAGCCTCAGTTTCTTTGCCTATGAATAAGGATGCCAGACAAGACAATCTTCCATGTCCTTTCTAAATTCCAATTCTAAAATATAAATAATATCCTAGCTGATTTGAGGAAACCTGAGACTTAAGCATTCTAATGTAGGGCTGATTGCCCAACTTTCCTCGGTTATAGTAAAAATCATGCCTGCCTAGACAGCAATCATCCTTTTTCACGGATAAAGTGGTATCTGACCACCCCCATTATGCTTACAGAGCTGCCGCTGCCCAGCCCCAAGCCTGCTCCCACAGGGCCCTGCGCACAGAGCCCAGGGTGTGGGCCACCAGCAGACTCCATTTCTCTTCTCGGAGCCAGCAGGGAAGGGCGCCCAGCTAGTGGCGTGAGGATTTGGCAGTGCCTGGGATCTCCTTACCACCTCGTCTTCATCCTCTTCCTCAGACTGTGCTTTGGACTTGGGAACTTTCAGAGTTGCCCCTTTAAACAGTTCATCCTCTTCATCCCCAGAGAGACTAGGAGAAAAATCAAGAAAATCAAGTCACAGAAAATGTACCTGCTCCAGACCACAGTGCCCACAGGTTTTGGAGTAAGAACCCAAAGTTGTGGTAACCACCCAGGAATTCCTCCCACACTGGCTACCTAGCGTTCTCGACTCCCTCCACAACCTATACGCTGAGAGATCTTTTAAAACTGATAAATCAGACCAAGTCACTCTTCTGCTTAAATTCCTTCAGATAGCTTTTCTGTACTTGAAGTCACTGTACTTAAAGTCCAAACTTCTAGCAGTGACACAAAATCTCATATGACTTGGCCCCTGCCTAGCTTTCCAACATCACCTTAACACCCTTCTCCTCCTACCACGCGCCTTCTTTTGTTTCCTTGATTGTGTCATATCCCCTCTGACCGCAGGGTCTTTGCCTATGCTGTTCTTACCCTCTGAAATCTCTTCCTCCCACTTCTGGCATGGAAGCCCCCTTTCCATCCTTCAGATCTCAGTGTAAATGTTACCTTCCCAGAATCCGTCCCTAACCGCGCTATCTAAAGTAGAACCACCTCCCCTTTATTTTCTATTATACACTTGTTTCTTTTTTTCCTACTTATCATACATATTTTTAAGATTTTATTTATTTATTTTTAGTGAGAGGGGAAGGGAGGGAGAAAGAGAGGGAGAAAAACATCAACGCATGATTGCCTCTCGCATGTCCTCAACTGTGGACCTGGCCCGCAACCCAGGCATGTGCCCTGACTGGGAATCAAATCAGCAACCTTTAGTTTCATAGGCCAGCACTCAATCCACTGAACCATACCAGCCAAGGTTACTTATCATATTTTAATAATACTTTTATAACAGTGCCTGCTAGACTGTAAGCTCCTTAACTTAAGAACAAAATCTGCTTTTCCTACCACATTATCATAGTGCCTACAGAGCCTTTTATCACTGAATAAATACATGTATGAATCCATGAATGAGTAAGTGAATTAGTCAATCAGTTGGTCTCTGAAGGATGAGTTGCCAGCTCTGGAAAAACCAGAGACAACCTTGCAGCCACCTTGTCCCTGAAACTCTGCTCAAGGGGACATACCTGGGACACTGAGAAGAGTGGTTGGGTCCAAGTACTGCTCCTGCAGTGGCAGAATCTGCCTCTGTGCTTAACAGCTCCTTGGAGGGACCAGCGGAACCAGCAGCACCTTCCTCTTTCTGGCTCTCTGGAGGCTGAGGCTCTCCTCCTGAACTTTCAGGCTCCAAGGGAAGTGGGTCCCCCTTCTTAGGGTCTGAAGTCCGGGACAGACTTGTGGCGCTTTCTTGCTCCTCAACACAGGCACTTCCCAATGGGCTGGCAGCAAATGCCTCCTCACACTCAGAGTCCACAATTACAAGGCTCGGAGGCAGAGGGGGTATTGAAGTTGGGGGCCCCAGAGCTCGCTGGGAGGGCTTGCAAGCTAGTTCGGTGGGGAGGGAATCATCTCTTATCTCTGAGAGTGCCTCTGCTTCTGTCGCCTCTCCTTCCCTCGTCTGTGAATCCTCCTGGGGGACCCCAGGAGGCAGTGGCTCAGCTTCCTTGACTACCTGCTCCGATGGCACTATGGCAGACTCCTGCCTCTCCGTGCTCAGGGGTACGTGAGGAAGCCCAGAACTGCCTGAGACTGACTGCTCCTGGGAAGGTCTCCGAGGTCGCTCTTCTTCTTCCTCTTCTTCACTGCTGCTCTCTCCCTTTTCTTGCTCATGTTGGTTTAACAGCTCAAGAGTCACCATCTGTTCAAAAGCCAAGGAGAAGATGATCACTGAGAGGTAAATAGCAGGCACTCCTAGTCCTTCAGACCCTATTCACACAACTGGTCATCTAGTTCAAACACGTTTGCTTCTTCCTCTTTCAGGAGACTGCCCATATCTATCCAGATGAAAGTCATTTTAGGCAATTACTGAGAAACAGTTTTGAATAATTTTTTATTCACACCTTAGAAGGTACTTAAGATACAAGATACTCATTTCAGTGCACCAAGCCACAGCTGGCTATACCTTGATGGTATTCATGATGGTCCCCAGAATGGTCCTGCCATCATAAGACTCCTCCAGCTCAAACTCTCCCCTCAAGGAGTGGAACACCTGGTTCATGATCTTCTTGACCTGAGTGAAGAAGCAAGGAGAGAAAAACAGTATCAAAATGTATGCTGCCCAAACCAAGTGATGAAGGGATGCATGCACATTCCAGAAAGGTTTTTGGAAGGCTAAAATGAAGCTTTCTTAGAACTCTACAGCAGGACACAGCTGGTCATGAACTCAGCCACTGACATTTACTGTGGAGAGGACAATGCCAAATAAGAAGCTGCACTTGACAGGAGGGCCATCAAGGACAGGTAAGTTGTGATATGTGTGCCCGAGACAGCTTACAGGCCACTTATTATTGCCTCCCTCCCACGGTGACCATGTCTAGAGCTGCCGTGGGCTGCCAGGATTCGTCGCTAGTAGATGCTGGGCACACTGCCTACTCCTCTCCTGTGACTTAGAGGCACTTCCCATATTGGTCAAAACTTCAGGACAGAACACTTAGGGTTTACCACCAAAGTGACAGGTTCCAAAGGGTTAACTTGTACTTAAGTTGGACAACTGGTGCATCCCCAAAGTTAGGGGAAAAAAGCTATCAACACAACAAGTGGGTCACATTCTTTCTGAATGCCTAGTGACATGGCTAGCTGCTTCTTCAAATTACCAGCTCACCTTCTCTGATGAGTCGGTGGCAGCAACTTCAACCCCAGAAGTCTGAGACTTATTCTTCTCCAGGTCCTTGATGTGCTGTTCATTTTGCTCCTTCAGGGATGTGACTTGGGCCTGGAGGGCTGAACACTGTGAAAAGAACAGACTATGGCTGCGGGCTCAGGAACCTGGACTACCAGGTCAAAGTCAGGAAACACAGTAGAAGAACCATCCTAAGCATCAAGTCAACCTCATGTAGGTCTGCTGGTGTCTATGCCCTCACACCCACCCCAGGCCTGCTGACTCACAGCATCTATTTCCTTATCACTCAGTCTCAACTCACAAATTTTCCTCCTCTTTCCCAACAAGATCACTTGCCTTGTTCCTAATCAGATCAAGAATATAATGAAAAAAAAAAGGGTGTTGTAACTCTAGTCACACAGACATATAAATACAGGAAATTAGAAGCAACCTATTCATCTACCAGACTCCCTTTACCATCTTTAAGTCAAAGATTTTCAACTGGATACTCTAAGGAAGTAAACTGACCTCCAAGATGGGGAGACTGGCATACCATGACCCTAAGCCATCTCTTCTGTCTGTCTCACTTTTATGTCAAGATGATCCCACCACAGCCATGCTCCATCCTCAGCTCCTTTTTCCAGGATGTTCTGTGACCTTTTCACCTTAACACAGCTACACGTCATTCTTGGCTCTTGTCCCCTGGGCACGTCCTTCTGGGCCTCACAGAACTTAATGCTCACCTTTGTTGCTCTCTTGTCTCCATTTCTCAACCGCGAGATTCTTGAGGGCAGAATTCCCTGTAAGCCTTTTCGCTAACACAGTATCTGAACACAACTGGTACTTGATAAATATTCGCCTACTAAAAGGTTGCCCTGGTCAGGTGGCTCGGTTGGAGTATCGTCCTTACCAAAAGGTTTTGGGTTCTATCCCTGGTTAGGGTACATAAGGGAGGCAATTGATCAATGTTTCTCTCCCTTCCTCTCTCTCTCTCTCAAAATCAATTAACATATCCTTGGGTGAGGATTAAGAAATAAATAAAATGGCTAAAAAAATTTTTTTTAAAAAAGGAGGATCAAATAGTCATGGAAAACATGTGCCAGAATATTTGTGCTGCTGTTTTCCTTTTGTAGGGCACTCACCTGCCATCCCAATAAATATGTGAAAGATTACTGTGGAGAGTTGAACAAGTGTGATTTTGTTTTCAAGCTATTAACATCTTTAGATGCACAAGAACCTACAGCCCTCAGACAACCTGCTTGCCTTGAATTAACTGGGCTGCCTAAGCTGTCTGGCCCCAGGGAAATGCCTACCTTTTCCTGAAGCTGGAGCAGCTTCTGCTGGCTGGCGTCTCTCTCTGCACACACCTCCTGATATTGTTGCAGGTGTTCATCCTTGGCGGAGGCCAACAGCTGTTCACATTTGGCTTCCCACTGGGTCTGCAGCTCAGCTTGTACTAGAGACAGCTGCCAAGGAAAAGTAATCACCATATCCTGGCAGTCCAGTTGCATGTAGAGAAGGCTACCTTTTATAAGGCAGAAAGAATAAGCTAACAGCCCAGATTCATAGGGAAACAACTGTTTGGAAGACCTTGGTTACTTTGAAAATAAATGTACTTTTTTAAGGTAAGTAGGAAGATGTCATTAGTTGTCAGGACTCCAAACAGCTCCAACCAGATAAAAGTGTGACTTGTCTAGAGAGGTTCCCAGGGGGCAGGACCATAATGTGATCATACTTTTCAGGGCCAGGCCCTAAGTTTACAGAGTCAAAAGAAACTTAACTTTGTCAAAATTCCCAGAGATGATCAAACTGAAGGTCTCAATTCACTCTACTTAACTGAGCAAACAAGTATAAATTTACAAACTTACGAGGAGAAAGGTCACTGTCAGATGAACTAGAGATCCAGCTGTGTCCTGCCACTATCCCTGGTTTCTCTGCCTGATTACATTAATAAATCTCCCCACACCCCTTTTTTGAAGGGCAACAGTGTGTCTGAAAGATGATATCTGGTGGTTGAGGACTTTAGTCTTACTATGTTTGGAAATTTTTATAAAGACTTTTTTTGTCAGGTTTTACTCACATAGTTAAATTTCCACTAAGCTTTAAAAACAGAAAGAAGATTATCTACTTGAGCTCTGCATCTTCTGCATATATTTGGATTGTGATTCTCCTACCTTTCTCCAAAGTGAAAGCACTGACTATGAGAAATGCCACCGTAAAGGTTAAAGAGGAAAACAAACTTTTCCGAGTCCTTCATGCCTTCCTTTTGTTTCTAAAGTGCTCAGTTTCTCATTACCTGCTCCGCAGCTGCTTGGTCTGTGGATACCCGAGCCTTTTTCAAAAGCTGTCGAAGTTTGTCCAGTTCTTCCTGGTATGACTTGCGAATTTCATCTATCTCCTCCTCAGCCTGACAGCGCTCTTGAGCTGACTTCTTTTTCCTTTCTGAGAGGTTCTTAGGAACAAGAGAACCATCATCAGCTCTGGCTGTTTAATAGAGGATATATGGAGATGGTGGTGGTAGTGACTGACCTTACCGCCTTTCTTCATTTCTAGAAACAATGCATTCATTTTTTTAGCTTAATTTTCCCTATATATTTAACATTCTTGGCTACTGGGTAAGAAAAATTGTGACAATGAGGAAAACAAGAAGAGATTTACTCACAAGTCTATTAAGAGGTGGGGGAATAAACATGATTTAAAAAGAAAAAAAAGAAAAAAATTGTGCCAAAAAAACCCCAGAAAGAGGTGGGGAACATCTTAACAGTGGATTCTTTCACACTCTGCTGTTAGGAAAACAAATGGGTACACTCTCTTTAGATGACTTTGTCAGTCCCATGAAAAGGCTTCCAAAATATGCTAATCCAGAAATTCCACAAATTATAATTTATCTTAAGGAAGTAATAAATCATGTTCAATAAGACTGTGTGTTACAAGGACCTATAACAATGGAAAACTGAAAACAGCTGAAAAATTAGAATTGGTTTAAAAAAACTGATAAAATCATAGAAGAAACTAAAAATGTAGCCTAAGATTTATCCTCTAAAAGGCACTAGACCAAAAGGGCTTTACTAAAGAGTTTTACTGAAACCTCAGAAAGAGTTTGTTCTTTCCATGTTTAAACCATTTCACAAAATAAAAAGAAGACAGAAGTATTCCCATTTTGTTTAATGGGGCTGAAATTAACCTGATATTAAAATTTTAACATAACAAAAGATACTATAAATAAAGTTTAAAAACAGAAAACTAGAAATATATTTGTGACATCTATGACTGGCAAAGGATTAATACCCTACTAGTGTTTACAACTCAAACTAGTATTACAATAAGAAAGAGGGCAAAAAACATGAAAAAGAATTCACAGAAGAAATACAAATTAAATATTAAATTCATGAAAGCTTGACTACTAATATAAATACGTATTAAAATGACAGCATATTACCCATCAGGCTATAAAGATTAGAAAAACTGATAAATGCAGATTTGGAAAAAATACAGAAAAATGGGTTTGCTTACATAGTGCTGGAAGTATAAACTAGCACATTCTGCTTTAGGATACCCTGGCAATATTTATTTTAAAAATTTAGATATGTAGCATTTCCTCTGATCCAGCAATTCTAATTCAAACAATCCATGTTATGGGAATGCTCAAATAAATTTGCAAAAATAGTTATATAAGATAAGGGTGTTCAATGCAGCAATGCTTGAAATAGTGAAAAAACAGAAACACGAATCACCATCAGTAGGTGAATAGTTAAGTAAATTATGGTAGAGCCTCATAGTAGACTACTATGCAGCAGTTCAAAAAGACTGAGGATGTACTCACTCTTATTAGTACAATGTCCATGATATTGTGAAAATGCATCAAACATGATCCCATTTTTGTTAATAAAAAAAGATATCAGTGTAGCTATGTGTATGTAGAAGTAAGTGTGTATATATGTTTTATACACACAGAAAACAATCTGGAAGAATAACCACACATTATTTATAGTTGTTACCTTTAATGCAAGAGATATGAGACACAGTAGAAAAATTTTTAATTTTATATTGGGTTGGCCGAAAAGTCCATTACGTTTCTTTTGCAAAATAAAAGACACACTTTTCATTTTCACCAATAACTTTATTGATTTGGATATTCTGAGTATGTCGGCCTTCTCCTGTTACTGGCTTCTAGTGGGTAGAGGCCAGAGGCGCTGCTATACATCTTCTGACACATACGACAGCCCCACAGCAAAGAATTATTTGGCCAAAGTGTCAAAATGGCAAAGAACTATTTGACCAAGAAACTTTTCAAACCACTTTTGACGTGTTTGATCAGTCATAGCACCTTCTCCATACACTGCACAAATTGTTTTTTTTGCAATTCAGTTGCGTTTTTACCTTTCTTGAAATAACAAAGCACAATATGCCAAAAATATTGTGTATTTTCTTCCACCTTCATATTAAAATGGCTGCATAAAAATTCACCAATTTTGATTAAGTTTTTTTTTTAAATGCAAGCTGATAGGAGAACTGTCACAATACAATCTAACAAAACTGTCTCAAGTGAGATTAAAGACAACTAAGCACTACTAGAGCCACTGTATGGAAAAAAACATAATGGACTTTTTGGCCAACCCAATATTTTTTTGACTTATTTGTATACTATTGTAATCTTTAAAAGGAAAATAAAAATGTGTATTAAACAGCTAATCCTGGTCACTGGGGTTCAACAAAGAAACTTCAGTTATAAAACTTACCTTTTCCAGAGACTCCTTCTCAGCTCGAAGGTCCGTCAGCTCTTCCTCCAGGGCTGTCACCTTGAGTTCCAGCTGCTTCCGGTTTTGCTTTTCACTTTTGAACTTGGACTGTGCTTGCTCAGAGGTTTGTTGGAGCTCTGGGATAAAATGGCAGAGAGATTTAGCTGCAGAACCAGAGTTATAATGGGCTATACAACGTCCCAGAAGCATCTTCAAAGCTGCATTCTGTGATCTCCCAATCCTACCACAAAAGCATCTTAATTCTTTCAGTATCACCTCAGTGATCAGCAATACGTTCGTCAAGCCATAAACTGACTCCTCCACTAACCCATATTTATCCCTGTATGTCTATGTCACTTTCCACACATACAATGGAAAGGTTCCAAGCAGAGACCACCTTATAAATATATCACTCCCACAGCTCCATGTCAGCCACCATCTCAGCACACTGGACACATCTTTTTGGTATTGGTCCAGCACTTTCTCACTGCCTGGGTAAGATATTCTCAAATTTCTTGGTAGCTGGGATATTCTACCAAGAGTTTACTTTCAGAACAGCTCTTCTCCAATAAAGCTATTTGGAATATTTCTTAAAAATGTAATGCATCAGCATTTATTTTGTTTGGAAAACTTCTGAGACCCTTTGGCACTCTTAAGGGAATTGTCATGGGGTACCACAAAAACAGAAAAGAAGATTTTTGTATGATATTTAAATATAAATCTCTCTCTCATATGCACCCAGGTTATATTCTAAAAGAAAGGGGATTTATCTTTAAGATATCACCACACCAACTGACATCAGTGTTTTTTAGCTCTCTATCAGGGAGTGAACTTTGCTTCTTCCCAACTCTGCTGCTGCTGTAGCCACACCCACTGGTCCCGTGTGGGTCTTCCACACTTGTTTCTACACACTGATGTGGATGAATCAACATGCTGGTCTTCCCAAATCTATTCAAGTCACCGTGGCATCAGCACCATCTTTGTGCCAGGCACTGAATTAATGCTAATTTGGAGGAAAGAACTTTACAAAGATGAGCAAGACATCACCCTTTCCCTCCAGGAGCTTGCATTCTAGAGGGAAAAACATACATATAAATAGTGCTATCAAAGGCAACATGTGAGAATGGTTGTAATATCCGAGAGAAAGAATTTTAAAGATCAAATGTTATAGGAAAAAAAACAAGGAAAGCTTCTGAAAGACAGATTTTGGAAAAAAACAGAGACAAATACTGGTGATGGCAGGCACACCAAGTGCAGAGAACAGCATGGATAAAAAGCATGACAACAACTACAGATGCGCTGCAGAGCAGGTGCAGCCACGGCCAGGGTGAACTAAGCAACATAACAGGGCATAAGCCAAGCTGAAGGGGCCTTGAGTGCTGGCTAGAGAGTTGCAATCCATTCTCTATGAAAGAAGCAACCAGTACAGGAAGTACCTGTCATAAACTTCCGCTGTGTCATGAGTTAGAGGAACTCTAACTTCCAAGCTATGTGGCCAAGAGTAAGTACCAAAGATACTGAAGGCAACGCTTGCTCAAACCAAATGGAACTGTGACCTCTGATCAACTGTAAATGAACAGTCAGTTCTTTTCCTCTATATCAAATGAACATGTAGGTTTACATGGCCCACCTTCATTTCTGGCTCAGTCTTCACAAACTTCATGAGCATAATGCCAGGTGTATTGAGAGGAAGGAAAGAGTTTAATTCCTTAAGTTCAAATGGTCAAAAAGGCCCAGCCCTCTCCACAAAGGACATACCTGAGAGTTCGGCCTGCAGTTTGGTGAGTTGGCTCCTGAGGAGGTCTGTCTCCTTCAAGCTTTCTGTCAGCTGCATCTGCAGCTCTGTTTCTTTCTTTTGGTGAGCAGTCATTTTCAGCTGCAGGTGAGAGACCTGTGCAGTGGCTGCTGCTAACTCTTCTGTCACCTTGGCCTGAACAGTAACAAGGTATGGCATCACTTTAAACACAGGTGTTCTTTGTCTCTAAGTGATGATCCAACCTCACATACTCTATACTGACTGAACTGTGGGAAGAGAGCTAAGCCCACTTTCAACCTGTATTAAACCAAAGTCAAGCCTTCAAAATGTACAAAGTCTCTGACTCAGGAATTCCCTTGCTGAAAGTCGTCCTTAGGAAATATTATGCAATTAGGAAAGATTAAAATTACAAAAATTTTGCTACAAAGTTGTTTGACACAGCATTGTATATAGCTGCAAAGTAATTTTTTAAAAAGTGCTAAAAATGGGCTTAAATCAATGATGATACTGTTATGCTGTATGCAACTATTAAGAATGGTGTTGTCAAAGAGTATTAGTGACACCGCATACAGTCACAACCTCTTGGTAAATGTTACCAATATTCTGCATGAGAAATGGTGTTCCTGTCACTTTCTAACTTTTTTACAATAAACACTTTTTTTTTAATAAAAAAGAATATTTTAAAATTTAAACTGAATGTCTACAATTTCTCTACTATACTACTAGTAGTACTATAATATAAAGATGAGTTTCATGAGAGTTACTGCTCTGGGGGTTCTTAAAAAAACAGAGCTAGTAAAAGAAGGCAATGAATGCCTCCTTGGGGTGGTGAACACACAATACAATACACAGATAATGTATTATTGAGTTGTACATCTGAAACCTATATAATTTTATTAACCAATGTCACCCCAATAAATTCTATGAAAAAGTAAAAATAAGTAAAATAAAATGTTGCCAGAATAAGAAAAAGTAAAAAAAAAAAAAAAGAAAAGGGGAATGCTTCAACTTTTTAACTGCTCAATGCATGTAAAATGGTGCTCTGTACTAGCTGAACAGAAGCAAAATATTCTCAAGTAACATCTCATGAAACAAAAATGACTACCCTGGAAAACCCTTTAATGATATGTTATATAATAATGGCGATGACAAAAATGATGATTAAAAGAATGTCAATAAAAAGGAATGGTAAACAAATGACAAATACCACATTAATTTCACCTGAACCGATTCCTATAAAAATTAGGAGAAGTCAGATAACAGAAAAGGCAAGTAAGTGGTTGCTCTTCTGGTGACTAGGCCTGACTTTTGGACAGCAACGTACTTAACGGGGTTGAACCATCTCTCCTGCACTATTACATTGCTACTACTGTTACTGCTCTTATAACAGTGTACTTTACATGCATTTTTACAGTTGTCTACTTTCTTATTATCACTTGTCTTCCTTATGGTAGTTTTAAACTGGTTGAAGTTCACTCAAAAGCTCTTTTCATCTTTTTTTTAAAGATTTTATTTATTTATTTTTAGAGAGAGAGGAAGGGAGGGAGAAAGAGAGGGAGGGAAACATCAATGTGTGGTTGCCACTCATAAGCCCCGAACTGGGGACCTGGCCCGCAACCCAGGAATATGCTTTGACTGGGAACTGAACTGGCGACCCTTTGGTTCACAGGCCAGCACTCAATCCACTGAGCCACACCAGCCAGGGTTCTCTTTTTATCTCAGGATCATATGCAGAAAGGCCTATTAGGATATAAAAAATATCCTTGAGTGAGGAGGGAGGAGGCAGAAAAGGAGGAAGAAGAGGAGGAGAAGGTAGAAGAAGAAGGAAAGGGAGAGGGACAGGAAGGGAAGGGAAGGGAAGGGAAGGGAAGGGGAAAAAATAAAAGCAGAGGAAGGAGAAACAATAAAGAGTAGAGAGTGGTGAAGTGATTCCAGTAATGTTTAATGGTACCAATGTCATAGGCTGCTGAACTGATCTAGGCATTATAAGTCAGCCACATAAACAAGGTATGGTGAAAAGTAGAGATGGGAAAGAATCGGGAGTGGACAGGGCTGTGTGGGGCAAGGCACTGCTTATCTGAGGACATCGGGTCAAAGATATTATTTGCCTGGAGACTATGCTAAGAGAACACAAAGAATAAAAGCATAAGACATACCATATTTTGCCAGGTATAATGCTCTCCCGTGTATAATGTGCACCCATGTTTCTGGCCCCAACTTTCAGGAAAAAAAAATCTTCCATTTTTAATTCAATTTTTTATTTATATGTATTTAGAAACAAAATTGATTGTCGTATTCCAGGGTATTATTTTGCTTACGGATATCATTACTGTTTTCTAGAGCTATACTTTCAATGCCTAAGCATAAATAAAATAATTAAAAACATTTATATAGATACAGAATTAGTACTATCCATGTATAATGCTACATCCTTATTTTTCCCTCAATAATTTCACCAAAAAAGTACACCTTATACATGGCAAAATACAGTAAGAAATCATCATCATTACCAGACTATGAGAAAGTGAATAAATGCCACAAGTTATAAAGTGAAGTCCATTCAATTTTTCATGTTTTTTTAAAAAATTCAAATACAAACTATACACTATTTCTTAAACCTCTGAGAAAAGAGCAGAAGGGTTGAGATCTCACAGCTGAGGAGTAGTAGCCCAAACAAGAAGGAAGCTATTCCAGACAGTGTCGCTAGAGCGAGGACAGGAAGAAGGAGTTCAGAATCAGTGGACCCCAACCCAAGACTCATTATTCATTATAGCTACTCCAAAACCGGTCATGATTCCTAATTCTGAACGGCCTGAAGTCAAACAGCAGCGTTTTAAAATGCTCTGGCAGGCACAGGTGAAGGAGCAAACTAAATACAGAAGGAGGAGCAAACTAAACAATCCTGAATTTCATTAAAAACATTTGTTACAGGGCATAACAGGAATTTTCTATTGATTTTTGCCAGCAGAATAAATCTAGTTTGTAATAAGCTGTATAATTCTTTTTTTTAAACAAGAACTGTAATTATATTGTGAAAAGAAAGGCAGACTGCCATGTGCAGTGCCTCATTTGGATGTTCCTGAAGTCTTGGAAGCTTGACCATCCTATGTTCTCCTACAAATGGACCTTGTCTGGAAGTTAGTCTAGCAGGGAAGTACAGCTACTTATTTATCTTTGACTGAAGACCAGTCCTCTCCTCTAGTGGGGAAGTTGTCCTCTTTGGGCATGCAGCATCAGGAGGGACACACATAGATCACTGAGGGAGGAAGGAGACACCTGCCTAGCCAGCCAGATCAGCCAAATCAATCTTGACGATCAATGCAATGACAGACGTCACAGCCAGATGGTCCTCACATCCTAACCTATATAATTCTTACCTTAAATTATTGTTAAGATCAGTGATTGTTTCTGAGTCAATTTATTGCAAAGCATATTATATAATACAGATATATGGAAGATGGATATATTAATGTCTATTTGAAGTTTTCTTGTTCTCTTCCCAACAATGGCAAGAATTCTGCTGAAAAGCAGATATGTAAGTACGTACACAGGATCGCTCCTCAGCTCTATACATCCTGACCTGGCCTTTTCTCTCCCCAGTTACTTTACCTTCTCTTGCTCAGCATGCAATACTCTTGCCTGTGTGTTTTCTGTGGCTGTTTGAAGTGAGTTGTTCCTCTTCTCCATCATCAGGTTACTCTGCTCAACATACCTATGAAACAAATAGGGAAAAAGGAAACATTTCTCAAGCATGAAATATATTCTGGATGTAACCCAATGCACATTCAGTCCTTACAACATTGCTCTATACCTTCATGCAAAACAACCTGCAGGCATTTTGTTTCCCTTAGAGCTGTAGTAATCAAGTTTGGAGGCAGGAAGCTGGACAGGAGGTAAATTGCTTTGAACTAGCATAATGAAAAGGAGAGAAATTGGAAGGGTGTTTGGTGAGAGGGGATGAGATGGCAAAAGAAACTGGAGTAGGAAGGCTGCAAGGAGGGAAGAAAAGAAAGCAACTCCCTGCCCCCTCCCACATGAGAGACAAGAGACACTAGAGAAGAGAAACATGGAGGAATGATTTTTCAAAGTGAAATACTATATGCTATGACATGTAACCCTGATGCCCATCTCCCACCCCAAAATTTTCAAAAGGATCTAGAAAAATTACAAAATGCTTGGGTTTCACATGGAAATCAGTGAAGTTCTGGTTGATTAAATAGAGTCAGCCTACACAGAAGAGAGAAGAGTTGATACCAGTGTTCTAAGTATTAACAGTACTTTTACAGATGAGGAAACTAGGGCCAGTAGGAATAAATAAAATGCCCAAACCCAGGTAACAAATGAAGAAAGCAGAGTGGGATTCAGACAAAGGCCAACTGAGGTTTTTCCACTGAAATGCCTCTCAGAAAATAAGCAATATTTTACATGACAAGCAGGAAAAAGAAATAGAAGAAATACAGATAAACTGCCCTAAACCACATTTATTTAACTTGGGCATTTACAGATTAAACCCTTTTGTCCATCCTAGCTAGTGTCCCATATCTGTTATTACCTCTGATTTCGTTCAATTAGTTCACTAATCTTGTCATTCTGTTCTTCTATCCGATTGCTCTTTTCAAGGATCTCTTGCTTCAATCTTTCATTTTCCTAAATTCAAAATGTGTGATATATAATTAAAGTTTTTAAGAGAAAAGTATCAGATAAAGGGAAATCACTTAGACAGTGACACTGTTACATATTTTGAGACAAAAAACTGGACCTTATGTCCATGTAGATATAATACTTAATACAACATATCAATTTATACCTGTTAGATATAAACCACTATGCCATATAGATTAAACATATAAATGGCTATAAAATGAAGTAAATTCTGAAACATGGTCAAAAAGAAATGTTTCCTTCTGAATATATAGTGCTAAGTCACTTGGACTGAATTGAGCCATAATGGACTTTCCAGAATCTCCCAACTCAGTGTAGCATTTATCACATGCAGTCTATTTCCAAAGTGGAGGTTTTGAAGGGTAGTACATCTTGGGAGAGAGTAGGGGCAAGGCCTTCGGGCTCAGTGTTCTGTTCCCGATCATTCTCACCTGAATAATTCGCTGGATGTTGCTCATAATCATCTTTGTTTCCATTGTAACCGGTATGCCAGGAAGGAGCAGGGAATTGCCAGCATTATGCTTCTGTAACTCTTCAACCTACCAAAGGGGCGCCAGAAAGACTTTTGTGAGAAATTTTTAAATAGGGAAACATAATGTACCCAAGATAGAACCACTTTTTTGAGGGTGCTAATGAGTTTCTGAGACAATCTCTAATGTAAGCTAGAGTTTTCTTCTGCTAACTGGATCCCAAACAGTAACTTCCTTTTAGAGAAATTAACTATTAACTTCTCTGAATACAGGAAACCAAGGAAGAGTTTACCCACAGTCCTGGTTACTCCCTATTTGTACCCCCTACTTGTATCCACTTTCAACACAGTCCCCAACCTGACTCAGTCACCTTAGTCATGAGATGATCCATTTTATCAGCCACTTTGCTGACTGCCATTCGAATTTCAGTGTTATGCTGTCGGGCTTCAGTCATGAGAAATGAAGCCATGTCAGCAGATCCTAAATGGAAGTAAGTCAAAAAGAAACTTATGAAACTAGAGGAGAGGATACTGTTTGAGGAAAAGCCCATAGCTCTCTCAGCAGAGGGAAGTAAGAAGTGAACATTTCCAAATACTAGGAAATGCTGTACTTCTGCTTTGGCTCCTTCTTCCTTTTCCCGCACACAGGTCCTCTGCAAGGCCGGCAGGTGCATTGAGGGTGTCCCCCCAATATTGGTGCTCCTAATCATCTTTGTTTCCATGGTTCCCTATCTCCCTGGGGATCCCCCCCACTATTCCCAGGATTCTCCCCTGGCCTCGTCCACCCAGCATGTTATCAAATGCAGTCTACTAAACGGGTGTTTTCCAGAATACCCTATTTGTGACACCAACTGTAACGCAGGAGCCCCAAACAGGGCTGCTGCTTAAGTGTTAATGATATTCCAAAAAAAAAAAAAATCACCCAGACTAGCAGATGTGGACATGCTGTTTCTTACTCACATTACAGGGGAGTGCCCAGATGGCAGTTGGTCGGTACGAGAGAGACCACACCTCCTCCAGTCTGAGGTTCATTATAAGGGGGTCCAGGCAAAGGAGGCACATGTCCTGCATATGACTCTAAGCTACACTAACTCAATATGTATATGCAGAAAGAAAAGGTCAAGGAACGGTCACAGGACAAGAAGTTGCTCCCAAAAGGAGATAGGAGGGAGTTCAATCCATTCCCAAAACAATACTCATTCTTTCTGGCCCGGGGCCCCCAGGCCAGCCCTCCTTGTGGGTGGTGGAGAGCCATGTCAGCATCAACCCCACAAGCAGAGAGTAGCAAAAGGGCTCCAAAGCTAAGCTATGCTCCTGCAAAATGCACTGCAGGATGCAGCCTGGTCCAAGGGCACAAGTATGCCCACTTTGGTCTGCCATAGCCCAACAGCTCAGGTTGCTTCTCCACTCATCCAACTATGCGCCAGGCACTGTACCAGGTACCAGGGATACAGCAAGGAATAAAACATGGCTCCTAACCTTGATGAGTTCACAGTCTGGTGAGAAAAGACTCACATGTAAACAGATCATTACAATAGTGTTTTAAGTGCAAAAAACGATCCATGTACAAGGTACAAAAGGAGCACAGAGAAAAGCAAGATTAAATCACTGGTGACACATATACACAACTGTCTCTGGGAGGAGAAGACGGAGTGATGGTAACAATCAGGGAAGGCTTTATAGAGGAGACGACAGGCTTCATGGTTTCCTGGATGGAGAAGGGACAGGGCTCCCAGACAAAGGTTGCATCTGGGAAACTCATAAATTATGTTGTAGGATATACTTGCTTCTTCCTACCACTATCCCAATACCAAAGGAGATTATTATGTAAAAGACAAGCTGTAGGCCCTGTCCAGTGTAACTCAGTTGGTTGGAGCATCATCCCATCAACTGAAAGGTTGTGGTTCGATTCCTGGTCAGAACACATGCCTAAGTTGTGGGTTCAGTCCCTGGTTGGGGCACTTGCAAGAGGCAAATGATCAATGTTTATCTCTCACATCAATGTTTCTCTCCCTCTGTTCCCCTCTCTCTAAAATCAATAACCATGTCAAGTGAGAATTAAAGAAAAAAAAAAAAAAAGAAGAGAAGCCGCAGAACAAGAAGATAGGATACCACCCCAGCTGTTTACATTTCATTTTGTTTTCTTTTATATACCAGACAACCACACTTGTACATGCATACAAGGTATCTGAAAAGTTATCCAAGTAACTGTTAATAACAGTTTCCTGCGGTCAGGGGATTTTAATGATGGAGGACCGTACTTTTCTCTTTACACCCTTTTGTGTTGTTTGACTTTTTAATAAATGTGTATTATTTTCATAATTTAAAATTTTAACAAATCAGCTTTCATTTGAGATATTGAACATGCACAGTCATTATGTTTTCTCCCAATTTCCTCCGTTTTACTATTTTCTATAACCTTTATAGAGACACTCTGGCAGAGAAATTAAAAAGGGCTAGTGGGAGAAAATGCAAGAAACAAAACCCAGGAAAGTGGGAAGAAGGTTTTTTGGAAGGATGATGAGTATGTTCTAAAACTGGATTGTGGTGATGGTTGCATAACTCTAAACTTGCTAAAGAAAGATAATTAAATTATACACTTAAAGTGAATGAATTGTAAGGCATGTAAATGATTTCTCAAGAAAGATATTTAAAAAAAGATAAGGCCCTGACTGGTGTGGTTCAGTGGCTGGGCGTTGTCCTGCAAACCAGAAGGAAGGTTTCTGGTTTGATTCCCAGTCAGGGCACATGCCTGGGTTTTGGGCCAGCTCCCCGGTTGGAGGCATGTGAGAGGCAAACAACTGATGTTTCCTTTGCACATCAATGTTTCTTTCCTTCTCTTTCTTCCTCCCTTCCCCTTGCTCTAAAAATAAATAAAGTCTTTTTAAAAAGATAAGAAAGGGTAGAGATCTACTGGAGAAAACATGAAACAGGAATGGGAGGGAGGAGAGCACAGCAAAAGCAGAAGACAAGAAACTGAGGGGATCACTCCCTACCTTGAAAATGGGGAGACTGAGAGAGCGGTGCCGGGTACAAGGGCCGAACGGGCTGCAGCTGGGAGGTGACAGTGGACGCCTGCGGATAAGCATAGGCTGGCACACCTGCATAGGGCTGAGAAAATGTCAAGTTACAGCCAGTTTATAAAACATTTGTGTGTTTCTTTTTTGCTTAATTTACCTTTGATGAAATAAAGTAGACAAGCTGGAAGGAGACTCAGACTCATTGAAGCTGGAGATGCATGAGACTGAGGTTTGGTACCAAGGAAGAACCGCAGCAGGAGTGCCGGCTCTGCGACCTGGCGGCTGAGGTCCTGCCCAGAAAGCGAGGGGAGGGTGTCTCTGGTCGCTCCCCAGCTCTCAGGTGGCATAATTTAATTAAGTAAGAATTCATTCCCCAGGCACTGGGCTCTTAGACTGATGGTCAAAGAAATGCTGAAACTAAGACAACTCTGCTTAGTTTCCATTGAGGTAGAAGAGGAGGCGTGCCATGAGATGCCAAACCAAATCCGCCCCCAGGTCCCAACGGGTGCCTCTTCCTTGCTAGATTCTAATGCTAATCTATGTAACCAAGAGCGCTCATTTCCCTCTGAGCCTCAGTCACCTCAACTATAGTATGAAAACAACACCACCACTTCCGAGGGCTGCTGTGTGAACTAAATGAAGTGACACACATGTAAAGCTCCTAACAGCTGGTAAGTTAACTGGCAGATAGTAAATGCTCAACAAACAGCAGCTGTCATTTCAATAATGATCATTATTCTTCCTTGAATTAAAGAAATGCAGCTCATTTCCAGGTACAGATATAACTACCGATTAATTAGACATTTAAAAAAAATCTTAGTCTATAGGATGGTAATTCTCCATCAGCAAGTGAAGAGCGGACAAGTGGGACTTTATTCAATACTGATATACCCCGTCCTAATGGAACAGAGCCTGCCCACCATCACTACCATTCTTCCATTAAGAATCACCAAGGAAGTAAGACCCTGTTATCACTGGGAGTATGTTTATCCATCAAATGTACAGGGGCAGAAGAAAACGTCCACAACCCTGGCAAACAGCAGAGGTAGACAGGCTGCTGCCACTGCCTTCTGTAAAAACTGAAAAAACCGCCCTGGCTGGTGTGGCTCAGTGGACTGAATGCTGGCCAAGGAACCAAAAGGTTTCCAGTTGATTCCCAGTCAGGGCACATGCCTGGGTTGTGGGTGAGGTCCCCAGTTGGGGGCATGCAAGAGGCAACCAACTGATCTATTTCTCACAAATCCATGTTTCTCTCCATTTCTTTCTCCCTCCCTTCCCCTCTCTCTAAAAATAAACAAACAAAATCTTAAAAAAAAAACCAACCTGACAAAATCTACTTTAAGGGATCACTTTTGAAAGACAGACACCAGAGTCCAGCTGTATTTTCTATATAGTCTCCACCCTTAACCTACAACTACTGTGTTGAGTAAAGTACAGAATCTTAGCCTATGAGATGTTTGAAAGAAAAGAACACAGAAGGCATAAATTTATACCTCTCAACTAGGTATGTGTGAAAAGGAAAGGAAGCAAACATGGAGTGGGCCTTGACCGTGTGCCAGGCTTTGTACCAGGTGCTTTGTTTGTTCTTGCATTTAATCTTTATAACAACCCATAAGGCAAGTAATCCTTTGTCTCGTTTAGGGATAAAAAAGTGGTGGTTCAAGAAGGGGAAAAACAATAATCTCTGGTTGTAGGAAGCTGCTATTGTACAAATTATGCAGGAAAAAGAAAAGAGACTGACTAGAACCATAATAAATTATAGCTTATAAATGATATGGTTTTAAAATGATCTGTTACCTGAAAGGACTGGGAATTTCCAGATACAGCTGAGTGGGAATCGAGAGATGCAACTTGCATTAAGGTAGCAGAGGGTGGCTGAAGCCCAGAAACAGACGGCTGAGGTGCTAAGATAAAGCAAAAAGTTTCACCGTTACCCATCCTTGCTTGTATGAGTCCAAAGCAGCACCTTATATATCATCAGGATTCTGACTTGACCACCTTCCTCACCTAATCTCCTAAAACCAATTATACTGGAGTCTCAGCAATGGATCAGAGGAATGAAAGTCTGTGTTCTTTGGTATATCTGACTCAGACCAACAATCCCATCAGCTGACAGGAAGTGCAGAATTACATAGAGGGAGATATCTCATTAGCTGAGTGCAGATTTGCAAAACTGACAATGCAACACAGCAAGCAGACCAAATACATCTCCAGGTCTGAAAATGCCCTATCAAGGGACAAACTGACAGGTTTTACACTCTAGTCAAGTTTTCAGTACTAAAATGATGCAGCCTAACAATTTAAGGAATAGTGATGATAATTTCGGTGCTGACCCAATTCAAGGCTACAGAGCCTCAGAGGGCTTTCCTTACCGTGTGTGGCCACCTGTGGTAGCACTGGTTGGGCTGGCTGAAGAGGGGGCTGGATGGACGGGGTCGGCATGGGCTGCCCAGCTGCTCGCAGAGCATTCACTTCCTGAAACAGGTACCAGCCTTTTGGTTATTACATAGGAGTCCCTAAATGAAGACTAAGCCTGACTGTCCAGCCTAAACCTGCTTACAACATGGTTCCTAGGCAAAGAAGAGGAAGGAAAAGCAAGCAGGAAGGCAAGAGTTCAGGGCATGGGCTGTCGGGGAGAAAGCACTCTATTATGTAATAGAGTAAATCATATCAAATAATTAAATAGAATTTCCTCAAACATTCTAAGTTCAAGTTTTATTATCTGAAGCAGCTAAAGTGACTGCTCGCCAGAATGTATAATTCACCAAAAAAGCAGTGACCATAAAAGGACCTCATCTGTTCCCACAGAAGACAGGTTTCTTGCAAGGAAACCCAGGAAATAATCCAGCCTCTTCTTTTCTGCCAAATAATCTCCACAGGCCTTAAAGTCCTCAATGAAAATCAGACAGAGTGGGATTCACTGCACTTCGTTACCATAATGTTTTGGGATAATATATTTTTAGAGTGTTTTTCCTCAGTGTTTCTTTTCATAAAAATCAAAGTGGTGTTGTTTCATACTGTAACTCTAAACAAAGTCATATTATAAACATCTTCCTTCTTTACGGAAGAAAAAAAAAAAACGAGGCACAATATACAGTGACTGTGATCTGCTGTAACACAATTCAAGGGCTAAAATCCCAGACATTCTTTTACTTTGACACTTCCTCTTGTTCCTGACATTCTCAGAAATGTATTATGTATTTCTGCAGAAGCATCCCACTTTTGCATTACCACAGCTCTAAGTTAACCTAAATATTTAACAATATAGGGAATGGAATTATGATAAATCAGTATAATAGAGCACTGGGTTGCCTTTAAGATAATAATGCTTTGCTTTATTTACTTTATTTACGTTATTGATATTAACATAAATGTTCATGATACGACATTAAGTTTAAAAAACAGGTTACACAGCACTATATATAGAAGAATGCCCTATTTATTAAATATATTTCTTCTTTCAATAATTTAAATTATTCTACAAAGTAGCACCTAAAATTTTTAATAAAGAATACGATCTTATCCAAATTTCATTTCCAGAAACCAGATAAAAACCAATCCTATAATAGGCCACAGAAATCTCATCCTCCTTTAAATGTTAAATCTACTGTAGAGCTTTTCCAAAAAGAGACAAAACAAAATTGTGAAAAATAAAAGTATTCTGAGAATTTTTTTCTTAGAGTATGAGCTTTGCTATGTTTTACATCAAAGTGAAAGAATCCAAAAACCCAATCTCTATTAAACATTTCAATTGAAAAAGGATGGTTTCATTTAATAAGGTACTAACCCCCAGAAAAGAATTAACTTAGAATTGCTACTTCAAATTATACAACAATTTTAAGATGAATTTTATATCAAAATATAAAATAATAACTACTTCTTAAAAACACATGTGATGTTTATATCTGAAGGTGGGAAAGCTTTCTAAGCATAACGGAAAAAACTGATTTTGTTGCAATACAATTCTTGAACTTAAAAAAAATCACATCACATACAATGACTAAAGACTCGACAGTGGGACCTTTAGTAATAGTTAACTTCAGTGCGAAGACCAGCACTTCCCAAGGAGACCTAAACATTCAATCAACAAATACAAGTTGAATGTCTCTTATGATTTGAGCATCATGCTGCCTAAAAAGTCATTTTTACTGGCATTAGAGTTTCTAGTAAAAGGCTAAATTACATCCTTAGAACTGCCTATTTCTTGCGGTAGATGTAGGGAATTGCTTCCATTTGTCAGGGGAATTGCTACACATGTATCAATACCAACCTGAATCATTTTGAATATAAACCCTTTAAATAATGATTCTGGGTTAGAGGCAGAAAAAGTAGTAATTCCAATGAAAGGAACAGAAGATAGCAACTTCTGCTCCAGTCATCCTAATACAGGCAGGGGAACATACTTCGATTTCTGAATCACTGGACTCCAGCTGCGGTGGAAGGATGGGCAGCATGGCCTGGCCCATTTTAGCCATCCGAGAGATCAGCTTGGCCTTGACTGTATCAGGATTCTAAAAAGACAGGAAAGTCATAAAAATCACTGTAATCAAGGTTCACTGCCTTCAGTTAACTCTATGTCTTTGGCTCTTCTATCATATCCAACCAGTCCCCCTGCCATATCTATTTGAAACCATTTCTTCTAGAAAATGAGAGCATTTTCTGGCCTAGAAACATAGATGGTTCATACATAATCACAACAGTAAAAACAAATTCCCTGTATGTTTGGATTGGACAGAGTGGTTTCATATGTACTAATTCATTTCAACTAAGTCTCCCCACCCTGTGCAATTATTCTCATTTTACAGATGAAAACCTAAAGTACAGATTAAAGGAGTAAGTAAGGCATTTCAGATGATAATACCCTCTCAAAAGCCTGGAAGAAATTCAGTAAACATTCAGAAGAGATTTGGGGAGAGAAGGAAACAGCAGCTCTTTGTTCTAAATTCAGCTTCCTTTAACTATGACTTGACACTGACTACACATTATATACTAGTGTAGTCACACTGACTATGCACTAACCCCAGTGCTAGAAGGATCTGTATCCATTAACTAGTTCGAAGTACAGCCTTCAGATTGGACAGCACATACCTCTGAAGGTAGACAAGGTGATCTACCGAGCACAGAAAGAAATGCCAATAACCTCTATTTTAAAATTATTTTATAGCTATAGTAACAAGACAGTAAATCTGTTTACAGGGATTGAAAGTACTTTATTGTATAATTTGTACATAGACATAGACTGGGAGTATGTTCTCATTTTATAACTGATGGATATGAATAATAAAAAAAAAAGCTGGATCCATCAAGGAAGGACTCCACACAATAAAACAGTATTATCTAGAGACAAAATATGAATGAGGAAATTTTGTATACACTAATATGGAAAGACATTGTTATATATATTGTCATGTGTAAAAAGCAAGGTAGATAACATACATAGAATGCTATTTTTTGTGAAAGGGGAGAGAATTAAATATACATTCCTGTTTGCTTGCATCTGCATAAAGAAACGTTGAAAGAACACGTAAGAAACTAATAGAAGTAGTTGCCAAAGGGGAGGTGAGATGGAATGAGGTAGATGGGGGCAGGGGTGGGAGTGAGTCTTCTCAATGTATATCTTGTTACATTGTTTTGCTAACTACCATACCAAGGTAATAGCTATTCAAAACAAAAAACAAAAACTTCAACGTTAAAAAAGAAAAAAACAGTTAATTTTAAAGACAGTTAATTTTATGTTATGTGAATTTGGCCTCAATTTTTAAAAAAGTAAAAAGAGCCCTAGCTGGTGTGGCTCAGTGGACTGAGTGCTGGCCTGTGAACCAAAGGGTTGCCAGTTTGATTCCCAGTCAGGGCACATGCCTGGGCTGCGGGCCGGGTCCCCAGTTGGGGGTTTATGAGCGGCAACCACACATTGATATTTCCCTCCCTCTCTTTCTCCCTCCCTTCCCCTCTCTCCAAATACAAATAAATAAAATCTTTAAAAAAAAAAGAAAAAGGTCATTAATGTACCACAAGTTACTGAAACTTAGAAATAGGTGACAAAAGTAGCCGTGTTTAAGAGCACCATAAAACCAATACTGGACAATTTGTGTGTGTGTGTGTGTGAGTGTTCAAAAATCTGAAATTATAATTGTTTTCAATTTTTTTCCGATTTTTTGGCCTAAACTTCTAGGTTTAGGAGATCCCTTTTTACACATGTCAGATCAATTATTTGCTTAATAATTCCTTCTTTGGGCTAAATATAAAAGAGTAAACTAGGGCTAGAGAAAATTTATGTATCAATTTCACTCCACACAATTATCCTATTTCCCAATTGTGGTAAATGAAGGCCACAGGGCTTTAGAACTTGAAGTACTTTAGTTATCAGCTCATCCACATGTGGCAAACTCAGATGCCATCATGAATCAGGCAGGGCAGCAGCAAATTACAGTGACATCCTCCTAAAGATATTCAAATCCAAATTTTACTACAGCAGTATGCTGATCTTACATTTGGGGAAACACAGAGGCCGAATGTCCTTTTCAAAGTTAACCAGCTGGTGCATTAGTGCAAGATTCCTCTGAGAGGATGAAAATATGAAGATATGCAGTAATTACAGTAATATGTAGTGATTACAATAATAATAAGCTAATGTTACCAGCTTTTACAATATGCCAGATATAGTACTAAAAACTCCACAGGCATTATTTCATTTAAACCTCATAAAAATCTCCTGAGAGATTATTGAAGACATACCATAAGTAGGCTCTGAGCTCAGTGTTTTACAAACATATCTCTAATCCTTACAAGAATCCTGTAAGGGGACTATAAGGATTATTTCCATTTTAATAATAATGAAGCTGAGGATCAGAGAAGTTAAGCAACTTTCTCAAGGCCACATGATTATAAGAATAAAGGTCTATCTATGCAGAAGCCCAGGCAAATTTATACTGACTCCTAAGTAAGGAGAAATGAATAAAGTAATTATCAATTTTTAGCTAAATCTACAGTTCTCAACATTTAAAAAAAATCTCTACCCTACACATGAAAATTGGGGGTGAGGGAGACAGAGCCATATACTCACTGTATTTACTGTAAGCTGTTCACTGAGGGAGTTAGATTTGGTACGAAGAGCTGGCTCCCTGAAAGCAAGTAGAACATATCCTGAGATGAAAACAAAATCCATAATCACAAGTCCAGATTATCCTGGAGAAACAAACTGTTTTTCAAAATGTTTGCCAACTGAATGGCTGTAAAACAGAATTTTAACTCTTGAGTTTGCTTAATCTCTGAAAGCTGGTGAAGATGAACAATTTTCCATCCAAATGCTTATTGTTTATATTTTTTTCCTTGGGTAAATATTTTGTGACTGTGCCTTTTGCCCAATTTTATACCAGGATTTGTCAGGCATTCTTAAATATCTGAGTGAGTGCTTTAACAGACTATGAATATTAATCCTTCGTCAGAAAAATCTGATGTATGTATTTTTCCCATTTTCCTCATCCCATTTTTAACAATTTTTTAGAATGTTTTTAGTTTTCAACCAGATCCCCATTTCTGAGCCCCTCTCAGAATTATTTCTATGGATAATAATAGGGCTTGATCCAACTGCAGTATCTTACGCTGACCTGAAAGGCACCGACGGGGGCAGTGACATGGCAGGGTCAGCAGGCAGGCTACCAGCGCCGGGCGTGGGGGAAGGGGCCGCAGAGTCCCGGGAACTCACACTGGGCCCGTCGGAGGAGCCGGAATCTCGGGCAAACCTCACCTAGGGAGAGAACCCACAGGTGAAAGAGGTCACCAAAAGGGCACTCTTCCCCCTCCAACCTCCTTGCATTTTACTTATACTTCATTCACAAGTCATTATCTGTTCATTGTGGCAAATCAGAAAATGTAGATAAGCAAAAGAAAAAAAAAAAGAAAGGGTAAGAACCACCTGCCATCCAAACCCTAGGCAGTAACATTGTAGAATTTTGGATGTACTATTTCACGTTTATTTTATGTGTGTTTTTACAAAAATGGGGCCATAGTGTTTTGCCACCTGCTTGGCTTACTCATTGATATATTAACATATTTCCATGTTATGAAATTAATGATCTACTTTTAACTACCAAAGGGTGTGTCTAACTTCAAGGGTCATGCCCTTAACTTCTGTAATCTACAAAAAAAAGAAAAACAAACAAAAAAAAGTCTCCAAAGAATTCTGGGAACGTAAGTCATACATGTCTATGCTATTACAAAATATATTTCACCAATTCCTACTTGTTACATATTTAGGTTATTTCTAATTCTATCACAAATGATACTTCTATGAATAGCTTTATATCTATATCTTTGCATGCAACCTTAAATATTTCCAAAGCATAACTCTTCAGAAGTTAAACTGTTGGATAAAAGATATAGTCATTTTTAAGACTTCTGATATATACCATTAAATTCCACACCAGCAAGGGTGAACTACTTTACACTCTACAGGTAGTGTGTAAGTCCTTCTCAACACTCTCGTCACCCTGGGCATAATCGTTCTCTGTCAGTCTTGTCAATTTAATAAGCATTTCAATTGGTAAGTATTCGATTACTGGTAAAAAAAAAATTTTTTTCTTATGTTTCCAAATGCCATTCTTAAAGGATACAAATTAGTCTGTTATCTATTACCAGCCATGATGTCCCTTGACTCAAAGAAATATTGAGAGATTTTAACAGACACGAAGAAGAAAGCTGGAAGCATGTCAGCCAAAGAGGCTGAAATGAACCCGCAGAGATAACAGTGTCCAGTTAGGAAAGAGTCCTTAAGAAGAAAAGCATATCCTTTCTCTGTTGTAGCAGGAATAATAGCCACAATAAAGATGACCATAATTTATTTGCTGTATTTTATAGTTTATGATCACCAACATTATCACATTTGGACCTAACGATCACAGTATAACGCAAACAAGAGTCTTTTTTTTTCCCTTGAAGGTAGCTTCAATTTAATTAACCACAATTTGTTATAAATTTCATTATAAAAATTAAACATATTCATGGCAAAAATTTTAAATAGTACAAAAGGGTAGAATGTAAAAAAGTATTTGAACCCTATTTCCATTCTCCAGAGAAAAATCACTTTAAAGCATTCCTTTTAAAACTTCCAAAAATTCTCTATGAATATGAGCATATATGACCACACACATATATGTGTGCATACACACACCCACACAGATGTACATATAAACATATAGGGTGGACAAAAATAGGCTTACAGATGTTCGTATAGAAAAAGACATACAGGTTATGATTATTACAATAGCTTTATTAACTGTTTTGTGTTCTTACTATTGTAAACATTTTACCCACACTTGTATATAAACATAGATGTACATATGTATGCCTTTGTAAATATATGTATATATTTATGTGCGTGTACACACGCACACAGGCCATACTATCCATACTGCTTTGCAACTTCCTTCTTTCCCTTAATAATAGATTTTGGATATTCTTTAAGAGTTACATAAAAGTTTACTCCATGAAAAAACCTGTAACTTAGCCAGTCTCTTAATAAAGGTTACTTTGTTGTTTTCAGTTTTTACTATTATAAACAATGTAGCAGAGGGAGGAACGTATATATCTATTTTTGTATTTCTATCAATAAATAGATAACTTTACATACTTATGAGAATAAATTGATAGGATAAATTTGTAGCCATGGAATTACTAAATCAAAAAGTATACACATTGGTTAGGAAGCACTATTTTAAGAACAAAATAAAAAGGTTAGTGTAGAGAAGTGATTTGCTCAGTCACGACCTCTCCTAGACTCTGCATAGAGAGCCAAGGATATAAACCTTGGTATTAAAAAAAAGTCTTCAGAACCTAGTTTTCAAACATATTTACTCATTTTACTTAACTCACAAAGGGACGCATCAACAGCACAATTTACTCACCCGCCTAATCTCCACCTCAAACACCAGGATTGAGTCAGTTGATTGAGTCCATCCTATCACTCCTTCAGAGCCAGCAGCACAGGCTGGAGGGATGATAAGCAACCGCTTCCCTCCTTTTCTCATGCCCAGCATTCCATCCTCCCAGCCCTTTAGAAATCAGAGAAGGGGAAAAGCTCATCAGACACAAACCTCCTCAAAAGAAAAAATGAAGTGTAGGATCATCAGGTTTCACTCATCCATACTTTCAGGTTTGGACCTCTGGAAAAAGATCAAGTTCAACTAGTCCCCCATCTCCCCATGGGTTAAAAGAATATCTAGAACACTGCTTATAATTTACTCGTAACAGCCAGTGTATCTGGAGATGGATGAAATATACTTATTTCAGATGATGAGACAAATTAGGAGGAACAGAAGAATGGCATTAAAAAAGAAGAAAAGCTATCATTTATTGAACACATTTTTCCAAGTACTCTGGCAAGTGCCTTACTTGCATTATGTTGTTTAAACCCCAAAATAACCTCATAGGTTGGCAGCATTATCCGCGTTTTACAGATGAGAAAACTGAGGCTTAGGGAGATTAAATAGTTAAAGGTCAGAGTTAGTACATTGTTAAGCCAAGAATCAACACCTGATCTGTCTAGCTTCAAGAGTCATACCTTAACTGCTATGATCTACAGGAAAAGTCTCCAAAAGATTCTTCATAAAGGAACCATAAACAATGCTATGGAGAAAAACTTTTTGCCCCATGTATGAATGAATACTTTATTACTTTATAATGCATCAGTATGTCCTGACGAAACAATAGCCCACATGTGTAAAATACTCTTTATATTATAACACACTTGCACAGCTGGTAAAGAAAAATTCACAACGTGAACCCAGGTCCTTGGACTCCAACCTCACTGCTCCTGCTGCTATGTCACAGTTGCTTCCCGTAATAATTGGGAAGTGTTGATTCAGAGTATCCCAGACATATAAAAACCAACCCACATCATACACCTCTACAAGAGTTTCACCTCTTTCCCTGTTAGGTTGTAGGAAGGATAATAATTTCCTCACAGTCACAGAATAAAAAAGAAAGAGTAGGAAATAGAGAAAAGAAATGTACCCATCTTCAATACAGTTGTCTCCTCCCTTATCTATGGGGGATATGATCCAAGACCCCCAGAAGATGCCTAAAACCGTGGAGAGTACTGTTGTTGGTGGGAATTTAGGTTCTTCCACAGGATCACGAGAAAAGTATTAAAAGGACCCATGCATGGGAGGTTGTGGTATGGCCAGATGGTTTATTCACGTGAAGATGGAACCTGCCCCCTGGGTTTCCAATGTCCCATTTCCTTCTGTCCCACCATGGAAAAAGTTCAACTGTGTCCTTAGCAAGGCCAAGACAAAAGCCAGTGTCTGGAGTTTCTGCTTCATATTAAAGCTAGGTCCTTCTGAGCCCATAGGTGGCTGCTAAGAGGTCTCAGTCCTCATCCAGGGAGCCTCTTAGCTTCTTGCCACTGCCATCTGTCAGGCTCCCTCCTGGAGCCTGCGTGTGGAGCCCACATGGCCACGCGGCTGCTAGAACCACACAGTCAGATGAATGCACCATGCAAGTGCAGGTCATGAGCAAGAGAGAGCTTAGTCCTTTTGGAGCCCACACCATCTGCTACAGGCCTGGTAGCTGCTAGACCCACGTGTGCTATAGGCGAGTGAAGGTCACCTGGGTGAGCGAGAGAGCTTCACCCTGGTTGGGTGGCTCAGATGGTTGGAGTATCATCCTGTACACCAAAAGGATGCAGGTTCTATTCACAGTCAGGGCACATACCTAGGCTGTGGTTCAATCCCTGACTGGGTTGTATATGAGAGGCAACCAATCAATGATCCTCATTCTCATTCTCTCTCTCTCTCTTGTTCTCTCCTTCCCTCTAAAATCATTGAACGTATCCTTGGATGAGGATTAATAAAGGCGGGGGGGGGTGGAGGCTGGGAGAGAGAGCACAAGCATGTATACACACTTCTTTGTTCACCTAGGATTATGTTAGCTTGGACCTGGGAAGAGCTAGGTGCTTTTACAAAACAACCAATCAACTTCACAAACTTTTGTGGGCTTGTCATGGGCGGGCCCACCTCCCAACCATTCCCTTCTTTCCCCAGGCTAGAGTGACAGGCCTCTTTGGTCAAGTACCTTCCTTTACATCATTTTGACATCTATTGCTCAGGTGCCTGCCTTCCCCACTCCCACCTGGCAGTCTGGTATTGAAGTGGGGAAGGGAGGAGAACAGAGTGTTGTGATCCCCTGGGGTGTGAAGCTGTAGCTTTCTGGCTAGCAAGCAGGCTTTTGTTCTCCAGTTCATTAAGCTCAATGTCTAGTCTCTTCTGCTCCCCTTTTCTAAATACTGACAGCAACAGTACCAAATCTTATACATATTATTTTTTTCCTGTAGGTACATTACCTATGATAAAGCTTAATTTATAAATTAGGCATAATAAGGGATTAACAACAAACAATAATAAAATGGAGTGATTACAGCACTGTATTATAAAAAAAGTTATGTACTTCCAGTCAAGATGGAGGTGTAGGTACACGTTTCGCCTCTTTGCATAACTATAACAAAGATCACAACTAACATCAGAACAAAAAACACTCGGATCTGTCAGAAAATCAAACTATATGGAAGTTCAACAACCAAGGATTTAAAGAAGCCATATTCATCCACATGGGTAAGAGGGGTGCAAATAGGGACCTGGGGTGGAGAGGATGCAGAGTGGTGGCAGCATGGGCAGCCCCACGTTCACGTGTGGTGGATAAAATCGGGAGAGATACCTTGGGAGCCAGCGATCCCCGCCAGAGGCCAAACTGCGCAGCCCAGAGTTCTAGCGCCGCAAAAAGAAAGCCTCATGAATTCCGGCTATAAAAACCAGTGGGGGTGGGGGCAACAGAAGAAATTGCTGGTCTTTCAGGAGACTCCATGTAAAGGGCCTGAGTGGTCCTAGAACGAATGAAAACCCACCCACTCTGGGCACCACCACTGGGGCAGCAGCTGGAGGCGCAGCAGCTGGAGGGGTGCCAGTCACATACAAGAAGGGGGTGAAGTGGCTGGAAATGGGATGAGGGCCGAGCAAGTCTCAGCAGCATTGTGCCCTCTCTGACCCCTCTCCCACATACACAGCCACAAAGCAGTAAAGCCGGATGCCCAGCCCTGGCAAATACCTAAGGCTCTGCCTCATACAACTTAACAGGTGTGCTAAGACAGGGAGCCAAAGCAGTTCCACCTAATACACAGAAACAAACACAGAGAGGCTGCCAAATTCAGGAGTCAAAGAAATATGGCTCAAATGAAAGAACAGAACGAAACCACAGAAAAAGAACTAAGTGAAATGGAGATAGCCAACCTGTCAGATACAGAGTTCAAAACACTGGTGATGAGAATGCTCAGAGAATTCACTGAGTACAGCAAAAGCATAAGGGAATTAACCAATAGTGAAGAGAAGGAAGCTGAAGTTCAAATCAATGATTTGGAACATAAGGAAAAATAAACAGTCAACCAGAACAGAATGAAGAAACAAGAATCTAAAAAACGAGGAGAGAATAAGACGACTCTGGGACATCTCCAAAAGTGCCAACATCCGAATCACAGGGGTGCCAGGAGAGGGAGAGCAAGAAAAATTGAAAACTTATTTGAAAAAATTATGAAAGAAAGCTTCCCTAATTTCGCTAAGGAAATAGACACACAAGTACAGCAAGCACAGAGAATCCCAAACAAGTTGGACCCAGAGAGGACCACACCAAGATACAACATAATTAAAATGCCAAAGGTTAAAGATAGAGATAATTTCAAAAGCAGCAAGAGAAAAGCAGAGAGTGAGCTACGAAGGAGTTCCCATAAAACTATCAGCTGATTTCTCAAAAGAAACTTTGCAGGGTAGAAGGGATTGGCAAGAAGTATTCAAAGTGATGAAATGCAAAGACCTACAACCAAGATTATTCTATCCAACAAAGCTATGTCCATTAAGAACTGAAGTGCAAGTGAAGTGAAGAATAAGAAGTGAAGTAAAGTGCTTCCCAGACAAGGTAAAGCTGAAGGAGTTCATCATCACCAAGCCCTTATATGAAATGTTAAAGGGACTTATTTAAGAAAAAGAAGATCAGAGCTATGAATATTAAAATGAAAACAAACTCACAACTATCAACAACTGAATCTAAAAAACAAAAGCAAACTAAGCAAACAACTAGAACTGGAACAGAATCATAGACATGGAGATCATTTGGAGGATTATCAGTGAGGAGGGGGAAGGGAGGAGAATGGGAGAAAGGTACAGAGATTAAGAGGCAAAACTGGTAGGTACAAAATAGACAAGGGGATGCTAAGAAAACTACAGGAAATGGAGAAGCCAAAGAACTTATATCCATGACCCATGGACATGAACTAAGGTTGGGGGAATGCTGGAGGGAAGAGGGATATTGGATGGAGGGGAGCGAAGAGGGAAAAATTGGGACAACTGTAATAGCATAATAAAATATACTTTAAAAAAGTATGAAATATAAAAAAATAAAAAGTAAAAGTTATGTAAATGGATTTGGGGACATTATTAAGTAAAATAAAGGTAACTTGAAAACAAGCACTGGAATACTGTGACAGATAGCCGAGGTGGCTACTAAGTGACTATGGGCAGGCAGTATTTACAGTATGTATGATATGCTGGAGCAGGGATGACGCACCTCCAGGGCAGGACAGAGCAAGATTTCCTCACACTTCTCAGAATGGCAAGCAACTTAAAACACATGAATTGTTTATTATGGAATTTTCTATCTAATATTTTCAGACTGCAGTTAACCACTGAAATCATGGAGAGCAAAACCAAGGTTAAAGGAGGACTACTGAATACTGTCTCATAGGTAAAAATCTTCCAAATGCAGATAATGTAACACATTTTCCCCTTCTTACTTTTAATCAAGCCTTTCTAGATTCTCAGAAGATACCCAGGTTAGAAATTTCACAAAACTTCATCTAAATTAAGCCTACTGCAACTGATAAAACCACGTAAGAACACAGTTCAGCCTTTACCTTGATGACTTTTCCTGATCCTAATTTCAGGCGAAGCAGCTTATCTTTGTTAGCAGTGGAATCAAAAACCTGCAATTTGATCAAAGTAAATGATAAATGAGGTCAATTTCAAGAATAATCATCATTATAAAATGTAACTTACTACATATCAGCATAGTATTTCTGGAATAGGGAATGTGAAACATACTGGGAAAATAATTTTTAAGAGAGCCGAAAAGACTGGACCACATCACGGCTAAAGGGTGTTATCACACAGAATATCTCTGAGACATTTATTTTCCAGTTTTAGAAAAAAAGTAACTTCATCTATTAAAAACATTTTTCATCTGTAAAGAACTTACAAATAAATGATCTCATTTTTGCTGACACCAATCCTGCCAGTACCTACTAACCTCCATCCACCAATGTGGGGAAAAAATTTAAAGAGTTTAAATGACTTGCCAAGGTTAAAATTAGGAAAAACGTAGGAATGAATCTACTTTTTTTGATCAACAGTCTTAAGTTCTTTCTATCATACCACACTGCTTTTGAGGGCTCAATAATACTGGAAGACAACAAGCTCAACCTATTTATAGTATCTAGTATAAGAAAAACTGAAACAACTGGAAGGTCTACAAAGAAGTTTTAAGACCTAATCCCATAAGAATATATTCAAATTTAAAACTAGTAGAGGAGGACAAGACACACAAGTGAACAATTACCAAAAATAGTATTTGGGAAATTGGTTTCCATTTTCTCTAGATAAGAGTCATAGTAGCACTGAGCAGATTTTATATATTAGCATCTCATGACTATGCCCCAAAAGCGACAGTAGGGATTAAAGCAGGGCTCCTAAAAGATTTCTATTTGCCAGCAGCAGCAATTTATAGTAATATTACCTTATATCTGAATAACCCTCATGCTGTTTAAGTTACAAAGGAACCTGCAGGGTGCATATTCTTACCTGGCCCAGTGCATGATTCTCAAAGAACCAGCTAGTATAGGCCACTTCCAAAGAATCTCCAGCTTCCACAGCAGGGCCCTCTGTTACAACGAGGTCCTGTGAGAGCACGGCATCCAGGGAAGAGGTGCTGTTGCACTTGGCAATGCACACCTGTGAGACAAAATTGAAGCAGCACACAGTTAGTGTAAGCTCAGCAAGTACTCCATGTTTGCTAATGCTCTTTTCCAAAAAGTGGTGTCCACTAACAAAACAGATTACACGTTTAGAAATAAACCATTCCAAAGTCATTAATCTTGCCAGGAATTGAAGTGTCTAAGAGTATGGCTTTGGAGTCAAACTGTCTGAGTACACATCTGGGTTTACTGCCACTTATTAACGTGTGAACTTGGCCAAATAACTTAACCTCTGTGACCTTTATTTCAGAGACTTTTATGTAAACTGGAGATAAAACTTTGCATCTCCTGGTATAGTTAGAAAGACTGAACTAAATCAAGTAGAGTACCAGGCACAGCACCTGGAAAATAATGGTAAGTACACACAAATGTTAGGTATCACTATCACACTGATTTACTGCTTCAGTGTTTGGGAACCTAGGCAAGAAAGAGTTTCTTAAAAAAATACAGAAAGCATTTTTAAAGGCAATGTAACCATACAGAAACTTCATTTCTTTAATATGAACTTTTCTCCTTTCTTTCCTTTTGATTCACACTGGCCTCATCCAGCACCCTGACTTACCCGCCTCCTTGTCCCTTGTACATCCACTCCCTTAATCATTGAGCCCTCAAGACAATGAGGTTCTGGTCAGCATTAAACAATCTTAGGAACAAAGCCTAAGGTCCATTGACTACAAACAGAGTTTCAATTGAATTAAAGGTAGTATCTAGTCCTCAGTTTTGTTTCAGCTCCAGACACAGGAAAATAGTGAAGCCAGACGAAGCAGCACCATGGCTGACGTGAGGACCAGATGCACTGATCGACCACCTCCTACCCTAGCACCAATCAATCAGTAGAGACCACAACCCTAAATCCCTTAGTCCCCTATGTAACCCATCTCATAGAGGTCATCGGGAAGCCAGGTCTTTGAGCACTGGCTCACCTGTGACTCTGGGTATGATGCCACTTCCCCAACTAATAAACCCTTACTTTCTTTGCTGCAAACTCCTATTTGTGCATCATTGGGCTTTGATGTGCACAGACAAATGAGCACCTTTAGTCTGGTAACAATAACAAACTAGAAAACAAAGGCCCTTTACAAAACCATGTTGCATTCCCATAATTTCTATCTGCACTACCTACAGTTTGGGCCATATTATCTTAGCACAAATCTTAGACAAAGAAGTCAGGAACATTATTATGAATAATTATTCTATAATCAATGTTTTTTTTTGTGACAGCATTTTAGTTAATGTTATAACACAGTATACTAATTACTAATTAATTAATTCCTTAAATTAGAAAGCTGCTACTCATTTTCTTTTAAAAAGTTTCATTATTTTACTCAAATAAATGCCAATGAAAACAATGAGACGTCATTTTTTACCAAACAAATAAGACTGGAGAAAACCCAAGATAATTCCACACGTTGACACAGGTACAGTGAGAGAACTGACAGAAATATAAGGTAGTACTCTCTCTCTGTAAAGCAGGGTGCCAAAGTGTATACAGAACCTAAAAATATCTGAACCCTTTGACACCATGTTTTACTTCTAAAAATCTAGCTTAAGAAAATAAGCAGGAGGAAAAAGACTTAAATATTCATTACAGTATCATTTATTTCAGAGACTGAATACAACCTAAATGCCTAAAAGCAAGGGAATGACTAAATAAAGGAATGTTCATATTATTAAGCTTTCAAAATGCTTCCAAATAATTTTTTATGAAGTGGGAAAGATATATTATACATTATTAAATAAAATAAGATACAGACCTCTTAAAGGAATGGATCTACATATATATTATATAGGGTCAAAAAAAATAACATGCTAGTAGTGGTTATTTAGGGTGGTAGGATTATGATCAAATTTTTTTAAATGCTTTTCCTAGTTTTCTACAATGATCACATAGTAACCTTTAAAAAAATTCCTTTAAAACACTTTTTAAAAAATAGTTTTACTCATTCCTTAAGATACGTTATGAAGCATAAATGTTTTAAAGAACTAAGTTTACATTTAGTCTTTTTTCTCTTAAAGTCTCATTTTCAGCAATTTGAATTAAGTGTTCCTATTATTTCCCTGAAATACAATAAGTTCAAGTGACAAATTTAGTGGGTTTTTCTAATGCTTGGCCACTAACAAAGTATAGCAGGTTAGGGTGTACCACATATTTTCCTCAAATCAAAAGAAATCCAGACTAGTGTCTGGTTTTTCACAGGAAGGATAAGATGGTCTTACCTGTTTATTGAACTCCACAGCAGATTTTTCTGACTCAAACATGATGGACCAGTTTTGTCTCTGATCATCATAGAAGGTGCTATAGTTATTGGGCCGAACCTAGGGAAAGGAAAAATGTTGGCATAACCTAACTATGGGCAGCAGAGCAGATAAATCTGAATGCCTGAACTCATTTGAAAGGCTGTGGCCAAGGTGGACCCAAAGAAAGATATCAGGGAAATCTCTTCTTCCCTCCCACCTTCCATCAATCATCCCTTAGCCCACATTCCCAGAAGGCTGCCAAGAGGCCTTTCCAAGAGGCTCTGTTAAGATATGCAGTCTGACATCCAGTGCTGAAGCCATCGACCTAATTCCCACCAGGTATGCACAGACCAATCTCTCCTATAATCCTATCCCAAGGGCATTAATGACAGTAATATGGGGAGTCTTACCATTAGCTCAAAGTTCACATGAATCCTTGCAACAGTAACAGGCTGTTGTTGACTGATATAAAGAAGAATCCTATACTGTTCTCAAAGGTGGGCAGAAAAAAAAAGAGAAGTTAAAAGGCAATACAAAAATCAGTACTAAGATGTCAGTAGTAAGGGGCTGTGTTTCAAGCAGGCATAAAACTCAAAACTCAGTTAATCCCTTAAAGTTTGGATTTTAAATTATATCTTCTCACTACCCATTTTAATCTCTTTTCATTTTGGCTTTACTCTTTAACTGTACTTAGCAATGTCTTTATTTTGTTGGTGTTTTCACTTGTACAAGAGGTGACTAAGAGATACAACAAATGGCTAATAGGGACATGAAAAGATGCTCAACATCATCAGACATTAGGGAAATGCAAATTAAAACCACAATAAAGTACCACTTCACATCAACTAAAATGGCTATTAAAAAATAACTGAAAAATAATGAAGTGTTGGAACCCATATATTGCTTATAGAAATGTAAAATGGCACAGCTGCTGTGGAAACAGTTTAGCAGTTCCTCAAAAAGCTAAATAAAGAATTACCTTATAACAGCAATTTCACTCCTAGTATATATGAAAAAAAAAGAAAGAAAACAGGGACTCAAAAATATATTTGTATATGAATATTCACTGTACCATTATTTATAATTGCCAAAAGGTGGAAATAACCAAATGTCTGTCAACTGATGAATGGATAAACAAAATGTGTTATATACATACAATGGAATATTACTCAGCCATAACAAAGAATGAAGTTCTGCTACATACTACAACATGGATGAATCTTGAAAACATTATGCTAACTGAAATAAGCCAGTCATAAAAGTACAAATATTTTATGATTCCACTTATGTGAAACATCTAGAATAGTCAAATTCATACACATAGGAAGTAGATTAAGGTTGCCAGGGGATAAGGGAAGGAGGGCTGGGGAGTTACTGAATAACGATTACATATTTTCTGTTTGGGGTGACAAAAAAGTAGAAGTGGACAGTGGTGATGATTGCTCAATGCTGTGAATGTAATTAGTGCCACTGAATTATACACTAAAATATGGTTAAAATAGCAAATTTTATGTTTCATATATATTTACTATATACATATATACAAACCACAGTTAAACAAATGATTAATTCAACCCCAGAGGGGAGGATGAGACTATGAGAGCTCATATACATACAATCTTGCACCAAGGTCTTTCTGTGCCTTTTGATAGGCAGGTAGAATGAGGGATTGATCACCTCAATGCAATCCAATTATATATTGAACTGGTCAGGGAAGGAGCATAGATTTATTAAGATTCACTCCACTTCTGGGGTGTCCCTATTCTCAAGCATTATCTTCCTAGGCTTTTGATTGAGAGCCTGGAATGTCTCTGACTTCCCAGTGCTGAACATTTTACCCATCAGAAATTCTGAGCTGAGTTCTTTAGCTTCCTTCCTAAGTAATTCAAAATTCAGCAAATGTATTGAGAGGAAGGCCATGGATGCTCACACAGATTCTCATCTTACAGTGGGACTTTATCTCCTATGCACCATGAGACTGCAGAAGTTTCCCTCTGCCTTTCTGGCACAGCCCCTGGACTTCAACTCCATTCCAGAACTCAGCAATGTCCTAAGGGGAAAAAAACAATCTTGCCTTTGGAGCAACTCTAGTTTTTGCCAATGCCTCTTGCGCCCAGCTGTCTCAGTGCTTGGGCCATACCTGATGTTTAGTCTACACCTAGGTATCAGCCGAAGTCACAGGGAAAGGGGACACTGAACTCACTGGCTCTTTCCTCTCTGAAATTTTAGTTCATCTAGTCCTCATCATTTCCACAGCTCACTAATGAATTTTAAAATGTATTTTTTGCAATTTATCTCCTTTTTAATAGTCATTAGAGTAGAAATGTTTTCTGCCAAACCCACTATACCCTGTCTGGTAGTGAAGGGTGGTAAAGTCCTAATACCAGATTTTTATGATCCAAATGGCAACCCCTAATAAATTAATAGTTCTAAGTAATAATCATCGATGGCAGCTAACATGAAAAACCACCAGACTTTATTTACCTCCAGATGGGAAAATGAAACAGACTTAAGGGACACAGCAACCAACTGCAATATATGGACCTTATTAGATCCTATTTAAAACTACTTAAAAAAAAACCAGGGAAATCTGAATACTAGCTGGTAGTGAATGACCTAAAAAAATTATTGTGGGTGATTTTTTTAGGTGTGACAATGGACTAATGGTTATGTTTTTAAAATTCCTTTTCTTTCAGCCCTGGCTGGTGTGGCTCAGTGGATTAAGTGCCGGCCTGAGAACCCAAAGGCCCTCAGTTTGGTTTCCAGCCAGGGCAAACAGGTGGGAGTGAGCGAGAGGCAACTGATTACTGTTATCTCTCATACATTGATGTCTCTCCCTCTCTTTCTCCCTCCCCCTCTCTCTCTAAAAGTAGATAAATAAAATCTTTTTAAAAAAATCGTTTTTTTAAAGAGATACGTACTAAAATATTTACAGCTAAAATTGTATGCTGGAGATTTACTCCAAATAATCTGAGTGGGGTAAGAAGGAAGACTGGCTTGGCTTAAGGTGAAACAAGATTAAAAACAAGCTAGGAATGGGTATCTAGGGGTTCATTATTCTAGCCCCACTATTTTTATGCTTCTAAATTTCCATAATTTTTTTTGTTTGTTTTTAATATAAATGAGTGTTGTCTATTATATTAGCTACCCTCAACAGGTCATTTTCTCTTTCTGTGTCTCAGAGTCTCTGAGGGGTATGGAATCCATGCTCTCAGGGCCTCTGAAATTCTATAATTTCTTATGCTCACTTCAACAGTGTTCAAAACCTTCTGGAACAGAATTTGAAGGTAGATACAACTTTACAAGTAAATCAGTCTTGGGGCTTCTAACCACATCTTCTTTTTGACCCAAACCAATATTTAACTGTGTGACCAGTTATCCATCTCCTAATCAAATTTTCAAAGGATAAACTCTGGTTATTAATGCAGATACAAAGACATATTGCTCTAAGTAGTACACTAAGTGTTGTTCATTGCCTTACAAAGGGATGTCCTTGGTGAATGGTTTACTCTGAAACTCCAAATTCTTAAGCTAGGTCCATATCACATTTATTTTAATGCATAACAGTAAATAAAGACTATAAATGTACATAATATTAAAAATTCACACTTAGTACAAACAATCATTCTAATCCTCTGATACATGAGACACTGGGCAAGCCCAGAGGAAAAGCAGCTCATCAGTACCATTTAGGGTACTTGGAATATACATGAGATGGAGGGCAATCTCACCTCTTTGGCTGTGTGATTTCCCAGGACTGCAGCACCAAATTTGCCCTGCTTTACATATTGATCATTTGTGCTACAGAAGAAAAAAAAAAACAATAGGTTTTAGTACTTCCTTAAACTTAGCAGAATCAGCTTTATTTTCTGCAATACAAAATGTAGGAAATCTAGTAAATTCAGCCTCTAGAAAGGAATGGAGATGAGTAGTTTATAATTCAAAGCCCTTACACAACTTCTTTACTCTTTAAATATCTACTATTCATATCTCAGTGGAGTAGCTATCTTTGAGCACTTGGAAAAGCAGTTGCTGAGGGTACAAGCACGAGAGAGAGAGAGAGAGAGAGAGAGAGAGAGAGAGAGAGAGAGGAAGAGAGAGATGTAAAGCATTATTGGTACTTTTTCTGTGGAAAGGCTGTGCAGCTGTTTTGCAACGAACAAAGGCTTACTGAGAAAAGAAAGGCGCTTAACCCACCCCTCAGTTCAGAAAGCATTCCTTCTCAGCTACTTACTATCTATATGCATGGACTGCTGTTGCAACCAATACTGTGGAAGTGCCTGTTGAGGTGGGTGCTGTTTTTGGTGTTGCCTGATTTCCTGAAGATGAAGAAGGAAACAAAGTTGACATTTCATTTCTTGGTTGAAACTGATTTTTTTTAACCACTAAAGCTGCTTCAAAATTCTTCTTTATACCACATAGTGTTAAAAAGCTTTCATGACCATTATCCTCATTTGATGCATAAAACAGTAGTATGACCTCATCAGGGGATGAGAAAACTGAGGCTCTAAACACTCAAGCGCCTTACACAGTGATAGTAGCGAGCCTAAGACTAGAACTCAGGACTCTGACTTCACTCCAAACAAGTGTCTGTACCGGACAAGACGCAGTATCTAGAAAATGAGGTCATATTCTATATACTTTCTTTTCCCCTTCCAATATTTTGACAGCTATGATAAATAAAAATTATTTCTCCTTCCTTTACTTCTGGAGTAGAAAAGGTAAGATATTCAGATCACAGCCGTTACTTACCTTACGCAGTGGTATAAGATTAATTCTAGTGTTTTGAAATAAGAGTCTATTTAGAGTAAGTCACATATTTATACTCACCACATGAGTAGTGAGACACAACCAACAAGAATTTATTTTCAAAAGCATCCTTGTTTTTTTATTTTGCAATGATGAAAACAAGGCAATGGGCCCCAAATAAAGCCACTTATGCTAAGCTCCACATCACCAAACAGATTTAATTCCAGTTTGGCCCTCCCCGAAATGGAAGCTTAAACCAGTCAATCAGGAACAGCCTGATCAGCACTAGTGAGGTAATTTGCCTGACAGACCCTCTGTCATCCCCTAAAGGAAAGTAATCTTGCAATAACCAAACGACTTTTTTGCCTAATACAACTTCTTTGTTCCTGCTCCCTTCTGCTTCCAAGTCTTTTTCATTTTCTACAGTTCCTTGGAGCTCCTTTCAATCTGTTAGATTGGATGCTGCCTGATTCAGGAACTGTTGCATAAAGCCAGTAAGATTTTTAAAATTTTATGCAGTTGAATATTGTCTTTTTAAATTTTGTATTGACCCATTTTTTTTTTCTGATTGTAGAGTACACATGCATTGTAGAAAACTTAGCAAATATAAAAATACAAAGAAAATATAGCTGTTGCTTGTCTCAGAGGATTTAGGAGGTTATGAGTCATGAGCCGAGACCAGCCACTCATATGGAAAAGCAGCGTGGATTGACCTATGTGTGTAACACACTAACTTACTGTGACCTAGGAAAGGCTGCCAAGGATGTCTTCAACAAAGGATATGGGTATGGCATGGTCAAAATAGACCTGAAAACCAAGTCATGTAGTGGAATGGAATTTTCTACTTCTGGTCATGCTTATACTGATACAGGGAAAGCTTCAGGCAACCTAGGGGCCAAATACACTGTCTGTAGCTATGGACTTACCTTCACCCAAAAATGGAACACAGACAATTCTGTTGAAACAGAAATCTCTTGGGAGAATAAGTTGGCTGAAGGGTTGAAACTTACTCTTCATACCATATTTATACCGAACACAGGAAGAAGAGTGGGAAATTGAAGGCCTCCTAAAAACAGGATTGTTTCAGTCTTGGCAGTAATGTTGATAAAGATTTTTCTGGCCCATCCATTTATGGCTGGGCTCTTTTAGCTTTGAAGGTTGGCTTGCTAGCTATAAGATGAGTTTTGACACAGCAAAATCCAAACTGTCACAGAATAATTTCGCCCTGGGTTACAAGGCTGCGGACTTCCAGCTGCACACTCATGTGAATGATGGCACTGAATTTGGAGGGACTATCTACCAGAAGGTTAATGAGAACACTGAAACATCAATAAACCTTGCATGGACAGCTGGCAGTAACAACACTCGCTTTGGCATCACTGTTAAATACAAGTTGGATTGTAGAACTCTCTCTCTCTGCTAAAGTAAATAATGCTAGCCTGATAGGACTGGGTTATACTCAGATTCTTTGACCAGGAGTCAAACTGACCCTATCAGCTTTCATTGATGGAAAGAACTTCAATGCAGGAGGTCACAAGGTTGGGTTGGGATTGGAACTAGAAGCTTAATGAGGTTTTGAATAAAGCATCAGATTTCTCCCTGGAGATGAAGAGAAATGAACCCACTATGTTTTGGCCTTAACATTCTTCTCTGATATTTCAAAAGTGTGGACTTTTTATTCTTCCAAAGAATTGTAATCCTCCTGCACACTGAAGCCTAGAGAGCGCAAGACCTTCCTAAGGGAGGTGCTGGAAAGCATGCCTGAAGTTGTCACATTTGTGCCACTTTTCAGTTCAGTTCCACAGATTTTAAATATGATCCTCAGCAAAAATGTAGTGTCTTGTTATAAAGGAAATAACCCAATCCAGTTTGTACATCACGTCCTGCACGCCCCACACTATTTTTTCATGACCTTTTAATATATTGATCTCTGTGCTGCAATGGAATCTTTGGTTTAGCATCAGAGCAAAATAAAGAAAACCATCACATTTAAAAAAAGAAAATAAAAATGACCTGTAATCTTGCCACCCACATAAATGTTAATCATTTAACGTATTTATTCTAGTCCTTTTTCTACATACCTAAACTCTGCAGCTTTTTGAAACAAAATTAATGTATAATTTGACAACCTCCTTTTCTCCCTTAGCATAGACATTTCCTTTTATTCTTCAAAATGCCCAAAACAAAAAAGTCCTAAAAGTTATATATTTTACGTGTGTGTGTGTGTGTGTGTGTGTGTGTGTGTGTGTATTTCCCCCCATATGTTGGATCTTCTTTGCTATCTTCAATGCCCAGGAAGCCAGGACAGCAAATTTTTTAAGTCAAAAAATTAAGAGAATGTTTCAAAAGAAACCTGCCTTAATTTCCTGCCTACTTCCCAGTAGGGAGTGCATGAGAGGCAACCACACAATGTTTCGCTCCCTCTCTTTCTCCCTCCCTTCCCCTCACTCTAGAAATAAATAAAATTTTCAAAAATTTCCTCCTGTTGCCCTGGGTGACATGGCCCGAATGGTTACATCATAGTCTCGTACACCAAGAGGCTGGGGGTCCGATTCCTGGTCAGGGGACATATCTAAGATGCAGGTCTGATCCCTGGTCAGAGTGCCTATGGGAGGCAACCAATAGATGTTTTTCTCTCACAGTGGTGTTTCTCTCTCCCTCCCTTTCTCTCTAAAATCAATAAACATATTTAAATTTTTAAAAAATTTCCTCCTGCTAACCTTCTATTTCTCTTGAGGCACAATTTATTGTGTTTACTCATTCTCTTGTTCTAGTTTAGTCTTCATTTCTGAAATGATTTTTTTTTTTTTTACATCTCTAATTCTTGCCTGAGTCCTGTTACTTACTTCTGAGATATTCTAATTAGCATTTATGTTCTCATCTCATGTCTAATGTTATTTTCTTAATGTTAAATAAGTGGCTGTAGTTTTGATCAGCTCAGTAAGAAACATTCTCATAGAACACAGCTTTCACTGTCTGTAGAGATATTCTGTTCCTTGCTCTTTGTTCTTATGATAACTTTGCAAGGAGTTTGATTCTGAGACTCTTCTATTGCTCATTTTTACTTGAAATTTGCTTTTCTGAACTCTTAGGAGGTTCAAAGTGGCTTTCCTACCTTTACAGAGCTCCCTCTTCTGTTCTTTTTGTATAAAGTTCAAAAATAGGGTGGATTCTTCCTGAGACTTTCTGACTCTACTTCTATCCTTATTCTTATCTGGATCTTCTCTCCTTCATTTCTAATGTCTCTATGCTCCTCAATATTAATTCCACTCCCAGCAAGTTCTTCTCATTGTGGGGACCTGTCATGGAGGCTCCCATAGTGAGTGAGGTTCAGAAGTGCAGAGAAGCAAGAGTGCTGCAGTTTTTTAGCCCCATCATCAACCCCTTCTACTTACCCACAACTAGAGGGGGCAAAACACTTCTCGGTTCCATCTTGGCCTATCATATTTTCCATGAACACCTTTTGACTAGTTTGGGGTTCTCCCATTGTCAGACTCAAATATTCTCCCACTGCATCCCTGTCTGCTCCCATGCAAATGTTGATACCACAGAAGCCTTGTGGTTGTCCGTGGTTTGTCCATACCTGCTTGTATTTGGGCGTTCGTGAGAATACCTTTTCAACTGATTTTGTCATAAATATTGCCCATATTTTTGTCTTTTATATCTTATAGCTCTGTTTTTATATTGAAATCTGAAGAGACTCAAGAACTATGCTGCAGTCATCTTCCCCACAAAGACTTCTTATAAAATTATCCCTTGAACAGAATGATCTCCTATATTGCTACTTCACTTTTTATTTGTAAATATCTACATAAGCTTGTATAAGTAATTTTTAAGGTCAAATGCCTCTACAATTCTTCTTTGAAAGTATAATGAACTCACAGTTGTTGTTTCCTGATTTTAAAAAATCAAGTTACTTCCCTGGTTGGGGTCTTAGGTTTATTTTTATCTCTATCCATTAACTCAACCACCTAAAATTGAGTCAGAAGCACATAGTTGATGAAGAGATGTGCCAGAGGAAATGTAAATGACTAGAAATCTGGTCAGGTTATGCTTTAAAGAACAGGACTAGCAATCCACAGCAAAGCTGCCAAAAGCAACAGGTAAGATTTAGAGCAGGGGTCTGCAAGCATTTTCTTTTAAAGGCCAGAATAAATATCTTGGACTTTATGGGCCATATGGTAACCCCTGCAACTATTCAACTCTAAATATCCTATCAACATCCTCAGTGCCAGCATTGTGCCTAGCATGTAAAAGGCTTGCAACACTTTCCTCTTCATTCAACGAATATTTAATTTAATGTCCCTCACCACCTGTTCAGTGCTGGTAGCTGAGGGCTGTTTCTATCAGTCCCTCACTGCTCTTCAGGTTCTTACACAAAGACAGCAAAGTTTAAAAAAAAAAAAAAAAAAAGACAGCAAAGTATAGGAGGGAAAAAAACCTTTGGAGTGATCAGATCAGTGTTCAAATTTCGGTTCTGTCATTTACTGCTGCATGATGCTGACTAAGTCCCTAAACATCTCTGAGACTCTAAAATGGTGGTTGTCTCACCTATATCACAGAATTGTGAGAACTGAATAAGAAAATCTATGTAAAGCACCTAAGACTGGACACATAGCAGACATTTTAGAAATATTAGTCCCCCTTCTCTCTTTTCATTCAACAAATGTTCACTCCATTTTCTTCTGTGTCCACCATGATGAAAGGCACATGGATATAGCACTGTCATTGCCTAGTTGGGAAAAATTCACTGTCACCATGCATCTAACCCATCAAGGTAAAAAAGTAATAAGCAGCTCTTCCTTCTCACCAAAACACTGGACAGTACCTACCTAGAGGGCCCTCGACAGAGTTTTTGAGGGTGGTGTCCATATGGGGCAGAAGAGCTTACTTGTGACCTTTCGTTATCAGTTTTCAACAAAAGACATACTATTTAGCTGCTAGAATTGGTATCTCAGAACTTAGAGAAGCAGACTGACCAAGGATGAACAACTGGTCATACCTCTGTTGGAAGGCCATTTATCCTTTCAACTAACTTGGTAGCGGCTAATCCTAACCTCTTAACTTACCTGTTGTTGCTGTTCCCTGGCCTTTCTTAGGCTGCTTTGGCGCTGTGTACTGGAAGAATTCATTTCCATGGCCAGCGGCTGTCTGATCCAGTCCAAAAAGAGAGGCCAATCTGGCACTATTGGTAGAAAATGAAAATAACATTTCATTTGACATATCTCAAACCTGGTATCATTATAAATGCTGCTCATCTACAATCTTGAATACCTCCTTGACTGTATATCCCACCATTCAATACTGGAAGTGGAAGACAAGTGTCTTTGAAATCAAGATTGCATTTTTGATTGGAACACCATCAGCTGACTTTATTCGTCTATACGACTTTAGTCAAGGTATTTCTTTCTGGACCTCAGTTTCTGCATCTGTAAACTGAGGTGGTTGTCCCAGATGCTCTCTATGGTCTCTTCAAACTGTTAATCCTTGCCTTTAGCAAGTCGTGGTTTCCTACTTTTTATTAGTTTATCAAATTGAAATAAAATTGTACTATGAAGTTACACGATCAAACATGGTCTTGTCGACCATTCCACCTAACAGGCAGAACCATTCTTTTATCATCCTTTTCCATGACTCTTATGCCCCAACTATTCTACTGAAATTGCTTTTGCTAAGGTCACCAACAACCTCTTTGTTACTAAACATAATTTACCAGTCCTTATCTAATTTGGCCTTCATGCTGCCTTTTTACACTATTTTGTTCTTCAAGCAAAATCTTCCCTTAACTTTTGTGGGGATACCTGTGGGTTGGAAAGAGGGATGAGCCCAAATAAGATATAAATAAATGTTAAAGGGATCAGTTTCTAGTCTTCCCATCTCTCTGGATCCTCATTTAACTTCCTGAAATCTTTCTCCTTTGTTCAACCTTTAAATGTCCATGCCCCCAAGATTTTATACTTTCTCTCCCCTGGCAATCTAATTTATTTACCTTGGTATCAAGTGCGAGCCAAATGCTGATGATGCTCAAATCTGTGTCCTCAGCCCAGAATTTGCTCCCGAGTACCAGACAACACAGATATCCCACAGGCAACAAAAATGCAACATGTCCAAACCAGAACTCCTATCTTCCAACCCCCACTGCCCCATCAAAACTTGTTCTTACTCTTGTGTTTCCTCTCTTGGTGACATTTTGTGTTGGGGTCCCCAAGACCACCACCAGGTCACTGATATGTTAGAAGACTCCTAGACTCAGCATATAGTTATACTCATAGCTAAGATCTATTACAATGACAAGATACACAACAACATCAGCAAAGGAAAAGGCACATGAGGCAAAGGCCAGAGGAAACCAGGGGCAAGCTTCCAGAGTCCTCTCCCAGTGGAGCGACACAGGACACGTTTAATTCCTCCAGCAATGAGCTGTAACAACATGTGTGAAGTGTGGTCTGCCAGGGAAGCTCATTAGAGACTTAATCCCCCAGGCTTTGAGTCTAGGGGGGCTGATAAATAGAACTCTCTGGCAGGTACCAAAATTCTAGAATCCTGGAGAAACACAAAGTTCATGAATCATTTTGTTTGTACAAAAAGTTCAGACAAGTGAGCCAATCTTATCATTTACAGAAAGCTTTATATCAGGGTAGGGAACTGTTTACCAATGCAGCTCCCAGATGTTAGCCAAGTGCCAACCTTGTAAGCAGGACTTTCAAAGGATAACAGTTTCAGGTCTACTATTTTGTCTAATTGGACAAAATTCACTGTCACCATACACCTAACCCATCAAGGTGAAAGAAGTAAAAAGCAATCTTCATTCTTGCCAAAACACTTAGTTAATAATTTAAAAAAAAATGTTAGCCAATGCATTTAGTTGCCAAAGTCTTTTTCTAGCCTTAGTTTTATACTACTTTTCTTTTCTCATCAAAAACAGTAACACTGTATTTATACTACATCAATGTATTTTAATAAACGGGGGTTCTTTCTTTTGTTAAAGTGCTTCTTTTATGAACTGTGGCATCAAACATTTACTTCTACAATAATGATAATAGCACATCGGCAGCGTAGTGGCAATCTGCTTGCTTGATTTCAAATCCAGGCTCTTTTACCTTTTAGCTGTGTGACCTTGGGCACTTTACCTCTCTGGTCCTTAACTTCCCATTTGTAAAATGGGTATAATAGTAATAACTACCTCGTAGAGCAGTAGGGAGAAGTAAATATGATAACATATATGTATTACTTAGAAGGATGTGCAGTGCCTAGCATTAAGTACACCATATGTTTTATATACATGTGCAGACATCCTATTACCTTAAAATATTATTTCAACTCAGATACCCTTGTAAAGAAGTATGCTCAATCGATGCACAAACGGACCTACAACTATGAACTGGTATTAATAAAAATACAAAACTACAGAACTGGGAAAGGTCTCAAAGATTATCTAGAGAAAACTCCATTATTTAACAGACTGGGATATGGAAAGCCCAGGAGAAAGAAGTGACTTGTCCAAAGTCCCATTCCTAACTAGGGGCAGAATCAACATTAGAATCAAGGCTTTTCTGTGTCTTTTATGGAAAGGAAAAATGTTTTTTGATGATCAGTTCTAGATTTATCTTTTTCTACCTTTATACTGGTGATTTATCATTGCTGCACTAATCTAAAATACAAGTATACACATAACTGGCCCCTTTACAATACTTTGTGATTATTAATACTGCACTGATTTCACTCTACTACTGAATTGAAAGTTTCTTAGTGGCAGGAACTATGTCTCATTCCTACCTGTATTAGCTGAAGCCAAGGACCATATACTTAGCAGGCATTTACATATTTCTTCATCTCAAAGTCACAGTGGTGGGGAAAGGGCTAAGACCAAAAAACAAATTAAAAAAACACACACTTCCTGATTACTACTACTTCTAGGTTAACCATGGACTTGAAGAGGCCTGGAAACATGGATCACAGACTATCAATCACCTAGATTGCCATCCTAGGCACCAATATTCCCTTTTCTATTAGGCCGGAATGTCCTAAATAGAATCAAGTCAGTCATATTTTTAAGTCAAGATACTTAAAAATTAATAAGCATAGTGATAAAGGAGGAAGTGAAAAGTAGCTGCAGTGCTTACTGTCATCTGTTCCACTTCCTTAGATAAAACACAGAGGAATAGCTGAATCAGAGAATGTTGGTGAAACTTTCTATATCCTCAATCTTAAATCTGATTTGTTTTTTCTGGCTATTACTGGGAACAAAAATAAAGTATATGAATAACTTTGTTTACTAAGCCTTTTATCATTAAATTAGCTGTTGTTTATGTTTAAGAGCACAGTCACATGCTTAGAAATAAAGTGTTTGAGGTCCCGTGAGCCTGCTCTGGAAAGCCGCAAAGCTGAGGCACCAAGAACTTATCTCAGGCCAGAAATCTGGAAAAGAGCACATGACTCATTTTTTACCCTGTAATTTTTCAGTCAGCAGTGTGCTGCTTGTTGCACGACAGTTGAAAGCCCTAACATTCATTTATAGACTTCCCCAAATACTTCCACAAGGCACAAGAATGTGAAGAATGTGAACTTAAAGTATACCTTGTAAACTTTCACAAGACATAGCCATATACAAAACAGGTTTGTATGAAACAACATTAATTTAAAAGGCATATTACATAGTCAACAGTAGCAGGTTGGATTGTGCGAACATTTTGGTGAATGTTTTGGGTGGAATAGAGAAAAAAAGAATCAAAGCACAGCTTAGTTCTAAGATATCTAAGCAACTGAAAGAACTAAGTGGAACTAAGTGGACAAAGGCCATCTAAAGTGGGGGTAGGTAAGAGTGAAAGAGGATTTAAGGATAGGTAACGTAGGACTAATTACAGTGCAAGTTAAAAGCAAACCAGTGTCATTTTATGTATCGAATCTCTACCAGGACTGAAGGCATTGTGAGGGGAGGTACAGCAGCTTAATCATCTTTGCAACCTCTTAGCACTTAGGAGAATGAGGGGTATATGTCAGTGTATTCATCATTCTTCAATACATTTCTTAAATTTATTAAACAGATGTTCAAAGAAAGGCTATGCAAAGGTCAGAACTTGCCAGCTCACAAGTTTGAAGACTGTCAAGCTGTCTATTGGCACAACAGAAGGGGAATGGCTGTAGGGATTACTAGAAGAGACTCAGAGCTGCCACTTGAAGAACTGTACCCCAGGCTAGTGACTGGGGGCAGGAGATAATGACTGCAGTCTCTTAGATTCCTTTTAAGTTTTAGAGTGCAAGTTCACATCTACTATTCTTTCCACAGGCACTTCCTGAGCACTATGTGCCAGGTATTATGCTGAGTGCTGGGCAGAGATGAGCAACATTTGTCCTGTCAGGGCTCATAATCTAGTAGGTTCCACGTGCATGGACAGAGATAATCATGCCTAGCTGTGGGACTAAAGAAAAGAAAGCAGCCCTGGCTGGTGCGGCTCAGTGGTTTGAGTGCCAGCTGGCAAACCAAAGGGCCACCGGTTCGATTCCCAGTCACGGCATATGCCTGGGTTGTGGGCCAGGTCCCCAGTCGGGGGCCCAGGAGAGGCAATCACACACTGGTGTTTCTCTCCCCTTTTCCCTCCCTTCCCTTCTCTCTAAAAATAAATAAGTAAAACATTTTAAAATAAAATTTTTAAAAAAGAGAAAGTAATTTTTTTCTGCCTGGGTCTGTGGAAGAAGAGAAAACACCAAAAAGGTGACACCTGAGTTAGGCCTTGAAGGATGCTGGAGCTGACTCCCCACAGGGCCAATTCTTAGGTGTCACCACCTTGTCCACCGAGAAAATGCCTTACACTGGCCCCCAGATGACTCCTATAAAAACCTCTAAGGCAAGTATTCACCTCGGCAATCACCCTCATTTCACAGAAGAAATTGTGACTTAAAAAGCAAAAGGCGAACCCAGGGTCACACCGGCTATCAGGGGAGATGCCAGGCCCGGAACGCAAGTGCAGTTTCGAGCGCTGCCAGGATTCGAAGACCTGTACGTACAGTACCAGAATCGGCAAGGGTCTGGACCCGGAAGTTGGAAAGGGGTCTGATAAGACCCCTCCAACCATTTGCCCAGCTTCCTCAGCCACGCCCTCTGCCCCACGTTTCAGTCACTCACCCGCCGCTAGGCGAGAGGAAGTCGGTGTCGTCTTCGTCGCCCGCACCGAGCATCGCGCTTGCTTTAGCTCGGCAGCGGGGAGGGAGTCGGAGCGCTGCCCGGCCGCTTAGCCGCCGACGTCGTGAAATGCCGTGGCGGCGTGCTGCTTTCCGACCGGACGCACTCTTGCATGCGGAGAGTTGACGCTAGCCTACGGAGCAGGAATGGGGAGGGCCTCGGGAGCACGCGCGCCGAGTGACGTAAACTTCTTTATCCCTCAGACGACGTGAAATCCGCGGGAGCTCCGAAGCTCTGCTCAGGGATTGGCCAATGAAGCAGGGGGCGGGTCAGGGACGAATCGGCGGCCTTGGTTGCGGTGTTGGACACGTCGAGCCGGTCAGAAGTGGAGGGGGCTTCTGAAGAGTCTTGAGGGGCTTACGAGTTAAGGTTCTGGAAGGGAGGAGCCGGTGGCGGAACTCGATCTGGGAAGGTAAGGCCTCCTTCGCCCCTCCCTCAGCTCTGGTACGAGCTCAGTTCTTTTCCCTCCGGGGGCAGGTCTATCCACACCACTCTTCTCGGTTTGGAGAAAGGAAAAAGGGCCCAGGATTGTCAGTCTGGAGACCTGAGCTTTCGATCTGGCCCCAACAGTGACGTAACTGGAGTGACCTTGAGGCACGATGTTCCGGGCCTCAGTTTCCCCGTTTGTAAAACTGGTTTGTCGCCCCTACCGCTTGTCCCCTGCGGCCGACCTCATCATCCAACGGGTTGTTGGTCGCGTGCTTTTGTGTGCCGGCTGCTCAAGAAGCTTTTAGACCTCAGAGGTCATTGAATTCAATCCCATTCTCCTCATAATCCCAGAATTTACAGATAGGAAAAGAAGGAACTGAGAAGCACTTGAATAACGAGTCTGAGGTCACGCAGAGTAAAGGACATACGGGGCTGGATTCCTGGTCTCTTGCTTCAGGACTTAGAGAGTTGATGCAAGTCCTTTGTCAGCCCTTAATCACTGTGTGTTCTCACGGAGTGGTTGTTGGACTGGCTACATCTTAAGAAAAGTCCGCTCTCCAGAGTCCAGCTGGGCAGATGAGGTGCAGGAGAGCTGGGGTATTCTGGGGCTGGGTGACGGAAGGAAGGAAACTTTAGAAGCTGAAAATCCTCAACCCCAGCCTTGGCCTGGGTTTTGCTTAATCTTCCTGCCACACACCTAAGTCAACATTATATTAAGTATTTCTTTGGTTAACGTGGTACAATTCTTGGAACAATTTTCACGTAGTCCTGGGTTAACCAAGGTGTGGATTAACCACTGTAGGGTCCATTTCCATAGATCTCACTGGAATTCTTTCACTCCAGGCCTCTCTCAGCCAGATTAGTACAACAGGTACCTCTTACCTGAATGTTTTGATCTGTTAAATTCAATACACAAAATTGAAGGGAAATGATTGGTAGCACCCTCCCAGAGAACTCCGAACCTCTTGGCACTTCCCTTGTTATGCTTTTCATTCTAATTGTGAATTTCTAAGTTGTAAGTTTCTCAAGGACTGGGGATCATATTACTTATCTTGGTGTTTCCTGTGTCTCAGAGCACTATGCCTTCTTGCCCATAATGGGTTTCTATTCATTCTTTGTTAGGTTCAGTAATGGAATTCATCCTAGTTCCCTTATTTCTTAATTTACTCTCTGAGGATTTTTGCCCCCATATGACCCAGGGAGCCCAGCAATGGCTGTGGCTTTTATAGGTAGCTTTCAGAAAGATAAAAATGCAGTAGCAGCTGTGAACTGCCTGGGTTGCTCAGTCGCTCTTGTTAATTGAAGATAATTTGACTATTGTTTAAAGCTTTAGGGGAGGGAAAAGAGGGGAATAAAATAGCTAGAAATATGCGTAACTAATTTTCGTTGGTATAGTAGTCCTCTGTTGAACTGAGGGATAGGTCTGTTGTCTGCTTCCTGTGTTTATTTTACAGATTAAGATGGTTAAAGCAATAAAAGCTGATAGTGTTAAAGCAATGGCACACAAGGAAACTAAGCACTAGAACAGGAACCCTTTACAGTAGCTCTGTTTAGAATACGAACTTGGTTACTTCTCAGAAAATAAGAGAATGAACTGCCTAAGTAACTCTTCTTAACCCCTCTCCTCAGTACTGGTCGTTGTCATTTTGGCACCAAAACATCTAGTGCTTTTAAAAAACACTAAAGAATCTCTTGGGTGTTTATCTTGCATTCTTGAGTAGGGCGTTTTTTATCTGGGGTGTTTAAGTAACCTCTTTGGATAGGCAATACTCCTAAAATGTGGATCAGCCTTTATAGTCATTGGAACACCACAAATATGCTTGTCCAGCTCACTACTGTGGGAACCCAGTTGCTTGTTCTGATCGTCAGTACAAGGAAGTGGAAAGTAGCGGTGAAGCTTCCTCAGTCTTTAAACTGCAGAATTGGGTGCATCTAAAAAGCCATGTCTTCCTTAGTTAGGGTATTGGACGAAGAATCAGGAAACCTAAATTCCCATCCCAAACCCCTCTAACTCACTCTGAGCTTGGGCTGGGCTCTATAACCACTTTGTGAAAGGAGTGGATTAGATCCAGACATCTGTGAAGTCTGTTAAGTACTGCTGGGGATGCAGAGGTGAGACACAGCCCTGATCTCAAGTTTGAATTAAGCATTTTTACTGGTACACAGCTTTTAGATGTGTTTGTAAAACATATTGACTCCCTAAAGATTAACCAGAAAGCAGCAGTTTTAACAATTTGACAGATGGAATTTTTTTTTGCTACAGAGATGAAAACTTTTATATGTAGGTACACCCATACTAATCTGTACTAGTAAATTTATTTTAAAATTAATAGTTTAAAGTTATAACCAAGTTAGATCATAAGTGTGGTGATAGGGATATGAATTGAATATAATAGGTTTGGGGGGTTGGTGTCATGTTCTTTCTGTTCAATCACTGAAAATAGAAAAATGTTAGAACACAATTCAGGAAATATCTGAAATTCTGCTAATGTGCTGGGTGTTGCCTAAGATAATAAAATGAGTTAGTTATCAATAGTTGAGTAGTGGGAATAATTGTAGTATACAGTCATAATAGAATGCATAGCAAAGTGAGTCCCATAAGTAGAAATTAATTACTGCAGAATTTAAAAGGAAGAAATGATCATATCTAGTTGGGAGGAAGGTGTGGGGTTAGATAATGGGCTTTGAAGATGAGTCGGATTCTAAGTGGAAGTGAGAAAATAACTTCCCAGATTGAAGGGGGTAGCTTTGGTGAAAGGAAAACGACGGGAAAGAAGGCAGAAGTTTCTTAAAAGAGTTGCCCTCTTATGTGATACAATTAGGGTCAGTAGTTAACTGAAAAAGTAAGTTAAAGCAGAGAATCATACAGATATTAGGTACCCACAGACCTTAATCATTTTACTTTAACTTAAAACATAAACATCTTGTTGCCATTCTTAACATAATACTTTTCTTGGAGTGTAGCTCTCAGGAGTCTGGAAAGTACAGCATAATGGCCAAGTCTTATCCTAGTCTGCTGCCTATTTCTGTAAATAAAGTTTTATTGGAACACAACCTGGCTCATTCCTTTACGTATTATCTTTGGCTGTTTTCACATAGAGGGTAGAAGTGAGTGGTTGTTTATGTCATTTTTATCTAGTCTTTTCAAAGCTTTCAACTTGGTTTTCATAGAAACAGCTGTTCCATTCTTAGGCTCTGGAGCTAAATTATTTTTCCATTTATTAGTTGTGTAGGTCTTGGACAAGTTGCTCAGTTTCCTCATTTTAAAATAGAGACAATAATACTATCTAGTTCCTATGGTTTCTGTGAAGTTTATCTGAATTAATTCAGGTAAAGTACTTAGAACAGTACTTGGCAGGTATTAAATTCTCAATTAATTTTAACTATTGTTTTTCTCTTCATATTTGTACTTCATTACTTTATATAATACTTTATTCTATACAGTTATATATTATTTACAATAATTAGCACACTGGCATAAGTTGGTCTGTGAACAAATACAACTGACACCCTTTATTAGGGCACAACTTCACTGAAGAAGGAGAGCAGAAGCGTTGTTCCCATGATATTGGAGAATAGCCTTGCTAATGTGTTACCAATTAAGTTGGTTACAAAGGTTCTGTGGGGTAGCTCGCTAAGAGTGTAAAACAACAGTGCACATAGGAAAGGAGGGGATTAAAATTGAAAAGGAGACCAGAGCCGTATTTGTCAACACCTTGAAGGCCAGGGTGATGAGTTAGTCCTTAGCTTGAAGTAACATAGTGATGTAAAAAAAAAAAAAAAAAAAAAAAATTCAAATGATTTAGAAGTGTATGAAGTAAAAAGTAAGTTTCCTCACTCCATGTGAGTAGCTACTTAATTTTTCGAATAATCCTTAGAATGTGGAGTTGTGAGGATTAAATGAGACAAGGCATGGTAAACACTACTTGGGACACTGGTATTAATCTGTTAAAAACCTCAGGCCAGTTTTTTTGGTGGGGAGGAATCATAATATCAGTTTTAAGTTGAGAAAAAAAAAAGATTCTAGACTGAATGTGAATAAAATTAAATGACTGCTCTAAAGGTAACAATTTATACCATAGTTTTAAGAATCTCTGATGCTTAAGTCTCTTCCTCTCTTTGTTCCAGTTTGGCTCTGCTGTTTATTTCTCCTTGTATCTTCCTCACCAGAACTGCTAAAAAGAGGAAAAAAATGATATAATTATCATTGGAAAAGCAAGTGTTACAGTGCAAGATGACTTCAACTAGTGGAAGATGTCAGATAAGTCAGTGACCAGGTGGCATCAAGATAATTCTGCCCCTTAAAGTTGGCAAGCCAGACATGAGTGGGGAAAAGGAAGGAAGGAAAAAGGGCAGGTTGCTGATGCCTCCATTCCCACATGCAGCTGTAAACATAATAAACCCATTTTAAAAAATCAAAAGTTTTCTGTACTTTGTGACTAAATGTGAGAAGTCATGAAGAGTCTGATACTTAATACATTAAAATGAGTAGTCTATGCCAAAAGAAATCTTATAGAAGGGACTGGGAAGGAAGTTCCATTGCTTTGAGTAATATTTCATAATTTAGGTAACATCCCTAAGCAGAGGAAGGGCCCGTCCTTAGGAATGCAAAGCCCTGCAGAGAAGGAAAGGGTTGAGGAGGGTCCACCCTACCTCTTTTCCTTTGCACAAAGACCCCAGGCTTTTGTACACAACCTGCTTTTGTAGCCTGAGGACATGCAGTACATCTTAATGAGATGGAAATAGGTGTTGCGAAAGAAATATGAGGAATGATTTGGAGGGAACTCATAAAGAGCAAAACTCTAGCAACCAGTGTAATATTAGAGACCTTTTTTTAGCCAGGGTGAGTCTTTTCCTAAATAAATAGTAGAATTCCTACAGAACTGTGCTGAATGGTTTTATAATTGTGAAGCAAATTAGAGCACCTAGAACGCAGTTGTTCGATTTATCAAATGAAAGGCAGAAGAATGCTGCCCCCTCAGA